TATTGAACAAGGTATATTTTACTTACTTTCCAAGTTTCACCTCATTCGGATGTGCTTCCGAGAAACGGCGAAGGCTAACATCCATCGCGCTTCCATTATCGAACTTCATAAGCAAAATGTGAGCCCGAGAGACATCATTCAACGGGTCGGTGTGCCTTGTAGAACGGTTTATGACACCATCAAACGATTCAAGGAGCTAAATACGACCAGTGACCGTCCCAGACAAGGAAGACTCGTCTCAGTAACCACTCCTCAGAAGATCAACGCCGTCAAATCGAGGATCAGCCGAAACCCCCACAGGAGCATGAGAAAGATAGCGTCAGACATGGGAATGAGCATCTTCGCTTTGGAACAAATCGTCAAAACGAAGCTTGTACTGACCCCATATCGTGTCCAAAAAGCGGCAATTCTATCGGCCGTCAATAAGCAGAGACGCTTCGAAAAAGCAAAACGACTTCTTGCTCGCACGTGGTCTGGACAAGATCTCGTCACTGTCTTCTCCGACGAAAAGCTATTCACTGTGGAGACGGCATTCAACTCACAAAACCATTGAGTACTTGCCCAGACATCCCAGCAAGCTTCTGAGAAAGGAAAAACAATTAATCGAGCCTCACATCCTGCCAGTGTGATGGTTTTCGGTGCCATCTGCTCAACCGGGATGTGCCCCCAGGATTTCGTGGATCAGGGAGTGAAAATGAACAAAGAAGTCTACGTTCGGGACATTTTGGAGAAGCATGTGATGCCCTGGACCCAAACGCATTTCGGTGGGCAGATATGGGTCTTTCAGCGGGACGGAGCACCCGCCCACACTGCCAAAACTACTCAGGAGTGGTGCCAGACCCATTTTCCCGACTTCATCAAGTCATCCGAATGGCCTGATTGCTCCACAGATCTGAAACCGCTTGACTTTTCCGTGATAGGGTCTTGCAGGAGAAGGTCAACGCAAAACCCCACTCAAGTGTAGAGGCTCTGAAGAGGACATTACTGGCGGAGTGGGACAATCTTTCCATCGAATACCTGCGTACCACAGTCACATCCTACCCGAAGCGTCTCCGTGAAGTCATAGCTGCGAAAGGAGGCCGAATCGAAAAGAGTTAATAGATAATTATTTGTTGTACTATAGATAAAAAATATTTCGAGTCTCGTTTGATTTGGACTTTTAGTTTCAGAAATATACGTCTTCAAAGTTGTGCGGGAACTTAAATGACACCCTGTATATTACAATAGATGGATGCTCCAATTACTCGCTCATCGTGGTTACGCATCTGAATAAATTGCTGTGAATGTTGTCATCAGAATCCATCGGTAATTATTGTGATTCATACCTGTTAGCGTTTGTACACATTAATTTAAATAATTGAAATAATACCCCCCCCCCAAAAAAAATTTGTTTAATAAAAATGATTACTCATCATAGATATTTTTCCAATTTATCTTGCACCTCTCTGAAATTAATATCGAAAATTAGATTAAATAGCCATATTAGTTTAAAGGACCCCTGCTCGTCGAGTGAAGAATAAAGAGGCGCGACTCGCTGACTCGATTGGCATTACTCGGCTCCAAATGCTCATTTTTAAAACGAGATTGATCGGCGTCGTTCAATTCCGCCAAACCTTCGTCGTTTTTTCCGTCATCAATTGACTTTCGATTTTACTGCTAATCAACGACTTCTAAAAATTGGTTTCGCGAAAATATATATTGTCGACATACACAACGGAAAATTGGCTAAATAAAAAAAAACGATGACAGTGATTTAAAAAAAAAAACAAAAAGTGTAGATTTACGAGCCTAAGTGCCAGTTAAAGACGCATACCGCGCCCTAAGACCTATTCTAAAATTTTTTGGAATTTAGTCAATTTTCCGCTGTCGCGCGCCTCTGATCATAATCGTATGTCATGAAATTGAATATGGCAACCGATTCCGAGAGAAATTAAGAGAAATATTGTTTTTTTTTTTTTTAATTTTTGCATCTGCCGACATTTTCAAACACTTCACAACGTTGCCTTATACAGAATTTTGAAAACAAAATAAATAAAATTTAAAGATTTTTTTTTACTAATTCTTTGACAAACAATTTCACGACTCCAAGTAATTCCAATTAACTGTATCTGATATCACATCATTTTCGAAATTTCCATATTTAATATCTGAGCACACCCATATCAAACTTTGTTGAAAATTTCGAAGCATATATGCGGCTCGGCTAGACATTAAAAGTACATGCCGACTTTTTAACAATTCCGCGTGAGCTTCGATTATCAGTAATTATAGTCGGATTAGCATTCATCAGCTCGGTGTGTGAGCAGAAAATGCAACAACAGCATCCGCCGTCGCCTCACAAAGCCATAATTACGCTTCATTTCCAAGAATTCTGATTTTGTACTTTATGACGATGCCCAACGAATTCGCACATTCATTTTTACAAATGCACTTTTCCTTTTTCGAATTTCTAAACTATGCACTTCCTTATTTTAAATAAAATGGGTAGTTGGCTTTAATTAAAGTCGAGATTTTGGGAATTTTGCAACTCAAAATGATTGAGTTTTAATGTTTTTTTTTGCTCTTCTCTGCACAAACTGTTTAAAATTGCAAAAAATGGGAAATTTGCGGAAAAAATCTCAGAGGCCACGCCTTTTTTTTTGCGAATTTCCTCATGTTTGAATTCGTACTCTTGTAATCATATGCCAGCTCATATCAAATTCTCATTCGGCGGCCAAATGACGTCTACCAAAGCCACCTTTATTCAACTCGATCGAAGATAATGCGCGGCGCGCGCAACGCCTTGTCGAGACATTCCCTCTCCTCAATTCGGACCGCCCATTTTTTTGTGTGTGTGTGTGTGTGTGCCTCTCTCTCGTTGCTCCATCGCGTGTTTCTCCTTTATTAGAATGTTCGTTTTCACCGGATTTTCTCACTATTTTTTTTGATCTACTAGAGCTAGCTGGTGTTTGTTTAAATTATTACTCGGGCGATAATGGAGAATTGATTTCAACATTCTTATCTTTTATTCCGAATCGGATCACACCATTTGTGTCAATCAATCAGTTTTTTTGTTGAATCGTCTGACCTAGTAGTTTTTTGGCAATCCGTCTGTAAGGGTGTTCCGTGACTTTTTGATAGGTTTTATGAATCCTTTAGACTATATTTATACATTAATCACCATCCATTTCTTCCTAGGATGTATTTTGTAATGATTTTAAAAGTTCATTCTTCAATTCTGCCTCAAAAAATTCGATATATAATTTTTCTTTTCGGATATTCATTAAAAAGGCTACCCAATTCATTGCTTCCAAAAGAAGAATTCGAATACTCACAGCTTATTCACAAATCCTATTAAACGGAATTCCGTTGAATTTCCGGAGTTTTTTTTCATACAGTTCACAATCCCCCCCCCCTCTCTAGCGTGCTTATATCATAAATTAAATCCATTTGGGGTTTGGTTTGGTGTGTGGTGAACTCCAAAGGGAGGGAGGCGGCTGCTGCACAGCGTGCCATCGGTTGGTGTGCGGCGTCTCGCCATCACACGCGCTATTCGTCAGGGCGAGCGCGCGCGCGCCGTTTCTCACATGCACACCAATTTGTGTGGAGCGCGCGCGCGCGCGCACGAGCTCACGGTTCATCCACAGCTTCATCCGCCGCCGCCGCCCTCGTCTTCAGGCCAGGGGCCAACCACACGGCCCCGGGGCCTTCTTGTCGCAGTCGTCGTCGTGAATGGAGTGAGTGTCCATATACGGCGCGTGTATAGTGTGCGGCGCGCGAAAAAGAAAAGAAGAAGCATGCAGCATGCAACAACAACAACAAGAACCAGCATCAGGCACGCAGCAGAAAGCTAGGCCGACGTCGACAAAAAAAAAGTGACCCGTGCGCGCGCGCGCGCGCGCAACGAGAAAAACACAACACCCATTTTTTGTGGCATCGGCGTCTATTTCGGCGCGCGCGCGCGCGCTGCGAAAACCGAAATGAGCCCTCGAGATAGACGGGCCAGCAAAGATGGCGAGAGTGAGTTGGTGGCTGCAGACTGTTCGAGATGAATGTCTATATTTGGTCGATGGAATAGCAGCGACACACCACCACCAAAAAAAACGACGCGCGCGAGCGAGAGCGCCGAATGGAGACACAGACATATGGAGGCGCGCATTCGGCGAAAAATGCGCGCGCGCTCTTCTCCGCCCACCTCTCGGCCACCTATCCCTGACGACGACGTCGACGTCGAGACTATATTCGCGCATTTCATTTTTTGTTCCTCTTCATTGGTTTTTGCCGCACAGTGTCGTATTGTAGGTGGCTGCCGTATTAGATGGTCCATTGTGTAGATCAAACATCGCATTTTGTTTGTTTTTTTTTTCAAAGAGATATCGGGGTTTGTTAATTTTGCCCTAGGGAACGAGACTTTCTGAAACTTGGTTTAATAGATAAAAATAAATAGAACAGATTTGATATTAAAAAATGAGCACATTTTAAAACGATTTGGTTAGGGCACGAAAACGTTGAATCTGAATAAAGAAAAGGTTCAAAAAGCGCGATCCATGTCCTTCCATAAAGGTTCATACACACTCGCACGCAAAAGTGCACACTTTTTAATGATTTTTCTCTTTTAATATTTCATCTAATAATACAAAATTAATTAAAATTAGTTATTAGACGTGAAGTTTCACATATAGATTTTAGCAAAAAACTAAAATGAAATCATGTCTAAATGGCAGTTTTCTATTGATTTTAGATTATCCTTAGGCTCAACAAAGCTCGTTCCCCCCAAAAGACTTGGTCCGAGTTTTGCACATTACAATAAACAATGGTTCGATATTGACCAAAAACATCGATATTGGCTTGCCGTTGTTCATAACAATCGTGAAATCGATCACAAACATGTATCTCTTGTTTTCATTGTCAATTCACACTCTTGTCGGGCAACAATCCCTCGCAATTCTACTAATTTTTGTCGCAAAAAAAAAACATATGGAATTTGAGATAATTTTTGAAGATTTTATAGGGGCTTGGGTATGTCATTAAGCGGCGAGTATTGCGTCGAAGACTTGCTGAGGTTTGAGGCATCATCACATGATCAGAGAATTCATTTTATTATGTATTCAGGGGAACTCCCAAATATGCGGTCATTGCTATCGAAGAGCAAAGCAATGTTGTGCAGTTGTTCAAAGACTTGGTAACACTATCCCAAAGGTACTTTGAATAGTTGAAAAATTTTAAAGATTGCCCGGGGTCACAGGAACGTCCGATTCTTCGATGACCTCTGCGATCATCCATTGGTCAAGGAGCGCTTCCCCAACGGGATTCCGCCTCTGGCACCGTCAGCTCCAGCGGCTCCTCAAGCTCTTCAAGCTCTCCCTCTACCTATCATACCTCAATATACTCAACCGTGTTCCACATCGCCGACAATGACAATGGTGAAAAGCACGCGTGTCGACATGTCTCAAACATTTCCGGATGTCTCGAAGCCCACCACATTTCAGGTGCAGGTAGGCGCCATTGGCATTTGAATTCTAATACAGAGAGGTTTTGAGATTGCCAAAAAGAGCACTGAGAAGCGTGCGAGGCCAAAAGCGACACTGCTCAACGGCCACAATAGTCACATGAAAGCGATCGGAGCAACCGCGGAGGTTTTCGCTCGCAGCGGCGACTCATCGTCGCAGAATTATGATCAGACAATTGATCAAGTCATTGGGAAAGGTGAGGAATATTGGAGCGGCTATGGTCGACGCTCATCCTCAGCATGAAAAATGCATGCGTCTTGAGAAACTTCATACATATTCAATTTCTACTCGAAACAAACTTTGAGCAGCGAAAATTCCTTTCAAACTTTCTCTTTTTTTATCTGTAGATTTCGGAATTTCAGCGATATCAGCTTCTTGCGATCCGAATGTCCTTGTGACCAGCTTGTTCGCTCAGAAGCAATCTCCGACGGCTCAGGCGACGTTATCGACGATGACTAATTCTAATAAGAAGCGAGATGATTCGAAACTCGGCGAGCTTGTCACCTGCAAACTTTGCGAGAGTCGAATCATGGCCACTCGCTACTCGAATCTGTCGAATCATGTTCGCCGGCATGCCACACTCAAACAGTATCAATGCCCCCTATGTCCATATCAGAACAATGAGCAGGCAAAAGTTCGCCTTCACATGCAGAATCAGCATATGGACACCACGGCGACGATCATCGACAAATTCTCGGCGGAAATGCAGGAGATGTGGGAGAGGCTCATGGACGAGTGCTTCCCGAATCATCAGGAGATCCTGCAGACTGCCAAGGAGACACGCCGCCACAACGAGACGTCGAGGGAAGCGTCGATGCAGCCCGAAATGTCCGTCGACATGGATGCGGCCAATATGACGTACACGACGCGCGAGGTGTGCATCTACCGGTGCATCGAATGCTCGGCGGTGGTGCCGTGCATGTCCGGACAAGAAGTGGTGAAGAATAACCCGCTGGAAGCGCATCTTCGAGCCGATCATTCCAACGACTGCTACCCATACATGTGCGACGAGTGCGGCTATCAGAATGCCGAGCAGGTGGGAAGAATCAAGGATGTCGCATTTTGTGAATAGCAATTTTCAGTGGAAGATTCGTTGGCACATCTCTCTTCGACATACCAATAATGCGGCCGAATGTACCGTATCGCAATCGAAATCCCCAATGTGTTCTCTATTCATCAAGAAGTATTTCACCGAGGCTGATTCTACAAGTTGATCACTTTCGACGTCCATCGTCCTAATTTCGGTTTTTCAGTTCCCGACGACGAAGAAGAGCGTGAGCTTCAACGTCTCCTCTCACCAAAGCCATCCACGCCGATAGTGGGCGCCAAGCGCCGAAAAATGCTTGTCTAGACACTCATAGAATTATATCTATTCGGTGTAGCGATAATTTCGACGAGTTCTTCATGTTATATATTTTTTCAACGCATTCCATCCACCCAAAAAATGTGATCTTTCATATCAAAAATGATATTTATAGAATTTTTTTCGAACAATTATAAATAGCAAGCACGAATAAATAATAAAAATGTTTCTGATATTTAAAAAAACGATACAAAAATTCTGCAATACATGGAATCTTCCTAGAATTTCGACGACTTCTTCTTTTTCTGCTTCTGGAAGTTCGGACGCTGTTGACGTGGGCCTTCGGCAACCGGTCCTGGGAGTGGTCTTGGCGAATTTGGCGATGCCGCCATATATTCCACATTGGGATTCGCTGACGATGATCCCTGCGTTCCTCTTCCGATTTCTCTCTCGCGATTCTTCCTCTTCTTCTTGTAGGTGCTTCTCTCCTGGCGTGGAAGCCAACGCTCCGGATCTGGAGGCACATTCGGATTGTAGTTCTTCGGCAAACGAATCTTTCTCTTTCTCCTTTTATTCTTGAGCTTACGCGTGATAATCTCCTAAATAGGGATTTGAGGGGAAAAGTGATGAATTAAAGCTCACATTATCCGCATCGATCGCCGCTTCTCCCTTGGCCTCTTTCTTTTGGCGGTATTTCTCGCCGTAGAGAATCCAATCGCTATCTTCGAGCTCGTCAACGTTTAAATTCGAATCACCATCGTCGGGGAAGATCTGAAATCATACTTATCATAAAAATGTTCGATAATATTTAAGCTTTTCACCTTGTTGCTCAGCAGCTCGGCCTTCTTCGGATCAGTCTTCGAGTACACATTGATTAACTTGCACTGAACTTGAACATCTTCCGGAAGTATGTCAGCCAGTTTCTCGAGATGTTTCGCAGCTTCAGCCTCATTTCCGCGTAGAAATTCTAACTCAGCCGCACATTCGAGAATCGCCTTTTTCGATTCAACGTTTTTCGCTTTTGCAATTGAAGCATTCAACTCCTTCAAAGCATCGTCCTTTTTATCCAATGCGATAAGAGTGCTAGTAAGCAAACTCGACGGTCCGAGCTCCTTCCGAACTTTCTCCGGGAATTTCTTCTCAATGGCTTCAACGGCTTCGGATAGTTTGGACGCATTCAAAAGGATATGAAGACGAGTCAACTGATTCTCAATATCGTCACCCTTCAGAACTTGAAGCGCCTTCTCGGTATCATTCAATCGAACATAAAGAGCAGCTTCTATGAGCGACACTTCCTTAGCAGTTCCGTACTTCTCGACAAGCTCTTCGAGAGCTCGTTTACAAGGCTCACGTTGATTGGAAAGAAGCAGAACGAGGGCGTTGTTAAGCATAAGAGTACGACGTTGGCGACGAGTCAGCTTGCTTTGATCGATCTGGAGTGCAGCCTTGAATTTTTTTCGAGATTCGGCCATTCCGAAGTCGGAAGATGCTGCCGGAATGTTGTTAGTGATAGTTGCGCGAACGCTCTCATCGGAATGGCTGAAATTGTTGAAATTAAATGAATTTTCCTTAAGGGGGTGCAAGTGGACAAAAATTGAAAAAAAAAATATATTTAAAGATGTAAAGGATGTAATTGCAGTTTTTCTGTAAGAAAGAAACAATAAAAAATCTTACTTTGAGGATTGTACTTTCTCGTAAATCTCCAATGCTTCGGCGTTCCTGCCCATTCTTTGGAGAACGTAGGCTTTCTGTACTCGAATGGAATCAAGCTCTTCTTCAATTTCATCTTCCTCACGATCTTCGTCGGAAAGAGTTTGACGGCAATTCACGAGGGCCTTTTCCAACGAAGCAAGAGCTTGTGGTAGTTTTTCAGCTTCAATTTGAACACAAGCACGATTATAGAGCTGTGAATACGAATCTTCAGCTTCATCATCGAGTTGTTGTTTGGTTCCTTGGGCTTCCAAACGAGCTTGAACAGCAAGATAATTGGCACGGCGCAGCTCGTCCGAATCATCCGAATAATTCTTGAGAAGATGACGGAAAATATCGAAAGCTTCTTGGAACTTTTCTTGTTTGTAGTAAATTTGCGCTTTGAGCTCAAGAACGCGGAAATCATCGGACTTTGCCGTAGAGAGCTCCTTCAAAGCTTGATCTAAATCTCCTTGTCGATAGCAAATGTATCCTTTTTCGAATGACACATCTCTGAAATTAGAAATTAACAATAAAATGCATCATTTAATGAAATGTTACCCCATTTGATGCGCTGGAACCTTTTTGATAAGGCCGAGCGCATCTTCGTACATGGACAATTGGATCAAAGCAATGAGCTTGCATTTGAAAGCAAAAGTTTCCTTCGGATGCTTACGAATAACTTAAAACAATTAATTTATAATAAAACGTTACGAAATAATACTCTTATTCGCGGCTTGCAGAGCTTTTTGGTAGTCTCCGCTGGTATCAGCACGAGCAATGTCTGTGATACATTGATACAAGCCTCCAGCAGACGCTTCCGTCATCTGAAATAAATAGTAATGGTAATTTTTGAGTTGTATTGCTTTTAAACACGTGCAAGAAGTACAACTTGTTAAATTAACAAGATATCTTGGTACTAATATAATATGATACCAATGCACAAAACTAATGTCATCCCAACCAAGCTCTTAACGAAATAGAATTCTATGAAAAAAATCAATTTTTCAAAAATTTGGAATACACTAAAATGCCATAAATGAGAAAACATAACGAAAAAGAAAAAGAAAAAAAAGAATAATGATTATATTTATCGTTGGCATAGAGTGATGTTTGCAGACTTATTAGGCATATTGCGGCCAATGCGCGTGACCTGACGCAACTATCAATAATTCTTCGGCCACGTTCTTAAGCCATATTGAATTAAATACTGAAATTTGTATACTTTAATAAAAATAAAGTTATTTTTCAAATAATTGTTACAGTTGGTATCTCTCAGAGACTAATTTATACGAGTTTTTACGTTAACAAGACCTTTGTATGACATTCACAAATTTTTCGTGTGAATATGAAGTTCACAAGGGACCGATATAAAAGATGAAAAAAGAACTCGATTCTTTTTTTTTCAAAATAGTTTTTTTTTGAAAATGAACAAGTTTAAGACACTCTTTTACCCTTTTGTGTTTTACATTCATGGGAATATTGAAGCCGCCGGCATACTAAACCATGTCCCTGGAGAACAATGCTCGACGAAACGACGAGTTTGTCTTTTTTCTTGATTTTCCTCCACAAATATTGTGGTGGGCATTCATTTCATAACTTCAACAACAACTACTCCTTATGGCATTCTATTTTGCATTACTAAACGTTTCAAAGAAGGATGATCGAAATACGCCAATGGCAAGTTCGAAGCATCGCCAACACAGAAGACATTCGATCGCCTCCGTTGAATCGCCACTTCATGATTATAGAAAGCTTCCAAGGTTTCTGTTTTTTTAGAACTGCAAAAATGTAATATTAAAAAAAAAACGAAACTTGAAAGAGAAAATGCTGGAAAATTTTTCTAGTGTGATAAATTTCCAAACATTATTGGAGTCAGCTCTAAGAAATGCCGAATTATTAATATTTGGGTTTTATTTGAAATGTTATTCAGACCCCAAGTTCTTCCAAAAGACGACATTGTTATTTCAAACGAATATGCTCTAAACGATTTCGATAATCCTGATGATGAAACTAGATTCTTCCGAAGGTCTCGAGGTAGTGCAAGAGCTTCTCGATGGGTTCAGGAGCAGACTCGGAGGTCGAATGAAGAAGTAACTGATCTCATGACCACTATGTTAATGTCATTTGTTTTGAAGCAACCAACAAATTCAAATAATGATAATCGACAAGCATTATCGCGAAGCAAGCGAATGGCATTTCCAGTTTCGACATCTGCCGGCGAACTGAAAAAGAATGAGACGAAGAAGAAGGATAAATACCACATTATTGCTAACAATCTGAAGAAAAAGGAATCGAAATCTGTGGAAGATCCTATTCGCCAACCAAGCCGGGTATACCAAGGCATGAGAGTAATTAACACTGATTTTCAAACATTTCCAGCTTCCGATTCGCACAAATCCCCCGAAAAATACAAGGCATAAAATGAATGAATGTCGAGATCGAGGTTTCTCTCCTCCGGATTCGAAAACTCAGCAAAATGCTTATGGTAACGATTACATGATTCAGAATTCTGAATATCGACGTTTCAAGCTTTTCGTGCCATTCGACACATTTCACCGGCAAGCGGCAGTGCCACAGCAACAGATGACAGTCGCCGATCGAGCGCAATGAGTGATGAAGGTCCGAAACGCGGTGACAGTCCAGCATCATCAGTCGATTCACGAAATGAGCTTACGATTCATGCTAATAATTCGCATCTGGCATCGCAGGCCATGAAAGTTCGAATAAAAATGATTTTTTTTAGCTTCTGAGATTTTTTCCAGATATCCGGAATTTCAATGTCCTCACGTTCTAGTGAGCCTAGATTGAAAAAAGTGACATTCGAGTCTTCGCCATACGTCATATCGAATTCTTTTTTAGGTTTGAACATTTTTTGGAATATCATTTGAATGAAATTATTTTCAACGCAGGAGATCGAGCAGTGTTGGTTCGACGTGGCAGCGGAACGGCGGTGCGACGATTGCTGATCTCCGACGGAGCCAATCTGCAAGCATCTCCTCACCTGTTCGCCAACACCGTAATAACACCAATCGATAAATGAAATATCAAAGAGGTCAATGTTCAGAAAGTGCTCGCACCGCACGACGAAGTCTCTGGCGGCGATTGGTGGACGCCGTGCGAGGTGCCAACCGCATGCGATCTTCTTCTAACTGGCGACCAACTGCATTCCACTGATAATCGCGCGAACGCCGCCATCGAGCGAATGCAGACGAAGCCGAACATTCGCCGATTGGTCCGTCGCCGTTCCACTTCCGACAAGTCACGAATAATCGCCTATCGTAATACGGGATTTCTGTCATCATCGCAAGAACGACGGAAAGGGGGTAGAAGCTTAGAAACTGCTAATCAAATTCTGAAAGTTTGCAGATTCTTCGAGAATGTCCTTATCGGTCGATCGTCCGTCGTATTATTGAAATTATAATTGCAAATAAATTAACGTTTATTACAATCGGCAACATATTGCATTCAAACTAACGGAAAGAGCATTGGTGTTTTTTTTATTCGATAAGAGATGGATATGCATGCGCGGATTCTGCCATCAGAATCCTTGATATTATTGCCAGTGCTGGGTTGGTCCCTAACGAAAATTCTCATCCAGAATGTGAACGATGCCGTCGTCGCCGGCGCTGCATTTCCATTCGATTCCATTCATTTTGTGGCCCCAAACAGCATGCGAGTCGTTCTGCAAAATGTAAATTATTGATGAGCTGAATTGTCGAATGTCGAAGATCAAATCATTTCATTTAATGACATTCGACTATCCTTTAAATTAGGAAATGTGGTCAATTAGGGGTTTTTTTTGAAACAGGAGTTTAATTTCCAAAATCCTTACTTTCGGATAAACTTTCGACTGGAATTCGTAGCGCAGACTGCCTTCAGGTTCGAACTGAAAATTTCATCGTAAAAATTAATCGTATCGCTTATTCTTGCATCTGATCAATAACTTGATAGTCATTTACCAATATATCGGAGAAATCGAAAAAATTTTTTGAATAATCAAAAATCAAACGAATATCCTCCGAATATTCCCGGTGTTTTTCAGGAATTCGCAATAATTCGACTGTTTTCTTCTGATCCAAATTTCAATTACCTACCTTGATGATAATCACTAGCGGTTTTCGTGTTCCCCTTTTCGAAATCTCCGCATTTCCTGTGTTCCACTGTCCCGAATACTCGCCAAGCTTCTCCTTCTTCATGCTGATGTCCGTCCCACTTATATTTACATATCTAGAATTATTTTGAATCTCTCCAAACGAGTGCAGCAACATACATGACTTCAGTGGCGGGTCTCGTCACTATCTTCACTGTATACGTCTGATCGGCGGACCATTTAAGGGTGCGAAGGGCGCCGTCGAAGCGATGTCCGTCCATTTTGAACGCAAGCGGATCATCGCTGCCATATTCGCTGAATTACTTCGTTAAGGGTAATCCAGTTATTCAAGTAAGCGAGCACTATTGTAAGGTCTTCCCCCCCCCCCTCGCATATTCTTTGAGCTGATTATTGACGTCAGAGAAGCGTGGGTGTTCAACTAAATCGGCATTTACTCGTATTGTAGGTCTCAACGCGATCCCACCTTTAATTATCATATCATCACATCCAACAAAAATCAAGAAAATTGGAGACATTAATCAATTATGTTGTGAAATCAAACAAAATTCGTTTTTTATTATTATGTTGTCTGACTTTCTCATATTTAATCTATCGGATTTAGTGATTTCGAATTTTCACCCTCAAAATGCTCACTTTTGTTCCTTCTTGTGTCGATTTGTTTATTCAAAAAACCCGTCGAGCAAAAAAAAAAGAAATTCCAACCAAATGACACTTCAATATCTCATCTGAAGGATGACATCGAAATGTTCTCCGTAAAACAACATATCCAAGTGCCAATTTCTTTCCGGAAATGTATACACATGCCACGACTGGCACGGAAACACCGACTACATCGTAATTAAGAGGAATGTTGGATTAATTGGACTAAATAAAATGAAATAAACCAATCACAATTTACTTGTCATTCTGAGGCCATTTGACATCAACAAACAATAATTATCGTTCAAACATAATTATTGTTTCAGTGATTCAGGAGTATCAAACTGTCGTCATAGATTCTCACAGGGGTAAACGAAACATATCACGAGTGAGTTCACACGACTGGAATCGCTTTTGATTCAATCTCATTTTCTGCTCGACGAGAATGGAATCGAAGTGTCACAGACTCCAAAGTTCTATTGAAAGAATATAACAAAACCAAGTAAACAAATAGCTAGAGTTTCAGATATTAGCAAGTGTCCAATCAAGAACTAAACCATGAACATTCTCTTTCAACATCTACCGTATCCCTACAGTACTTCGAAACCCTCCCGTCCTAAATGAGTCATTCGTTCTCATCGAATCGACAAAATGAAAAAATCGTATAAGACCATCGGCAATTGTTTGCGTCTTATTTTAATGTTCCCAAAAATCGATTACGACAATTTAATATGATGTTTCGATATTTTTCACAATAAAAATTTTGCGAAACGAAAGACGATGAAAAACTTACGTGATGGTCAGTTCGACGGTGAAGGCGTATTTCGACATTGCTCGAAGATGTCGTGTTTCGTTGTTGTTTTATTATGCTCTTTTTCCCTCTCTTCTCACTTGCTAGTCAAGAAAACAACATAAACAACAATAAGCCGATGTCGGTGTGCGAGTTGATATATATATTCCCTTAAAAGGACATAGTATGTATATCTAAAAACAAGGAAAAAAGGGGCATATATGTGCACGGCCACATAAAATAATGTGCGGAAAAAAATAAGATAGAAAACGAAGAAGAAAGTTGGAAGAGGAGGAGTGCTGAGGCATCGAGGGCCCCTACAACGGAGGCTGGCCGGTCGTCGCCGCTGCCGACGGCGACGTGCTCGCCACGCGAAATGCATGCAGATGCCGAGAAGACACAGAGAAACCAACGAGAGGCGGGGTGAGCTTCTTCCATTTCTGGACTTGTGCCAGATCAAATGACTCATTGGTGTTGCTTTTGAAACAATTCGATCTGGGTATGAGCCATGGCGGATGAGCCAGAATTATGATAGTGATAGATCTGGTTCAATCAAGTGATATTAAGGTGAAATTTGGAAGGCCTGAGTTCATATTTTGAAGGAAAACCGACATAATTCGTTTTGCAACTCTTGAAATTCCTATAAAAAGGCGGGATTTACGAGGAGTTCAACTCGTGTGATATTATTATTATTATTGTTAATACACTTTTACCCCAATTTCTGATGATGTTAAATGAAAATAATTTCTCTTTTCTTATGAGTTTAATCTATATCAATACTGGTTCTTTTTTTTTTCAGATTCCTTCTAATGAGTGTCGCTCAAAAGTGCTGACCGCTTTGATCTCCTAATCTTTGACCCGTCCAAGTCATTTGGTATTTAGACTAATCATTTAGTGAAGTATTAGACAGCTCGAAAAGATTTTCGACATCATCGTGTAATTTTGAGATAATTTTTATTTACTTTGGAGTATTTATCGTCAGACGACTCAACAAAATTTGGGTACATGTTGTCTCGAGGCAAAAAGAATTACGCGATGCGTTGCATACGAGAATTTAATATTCAGTTAATGCGTAAATTTCCTCGCTCGCAATTCTGCTCCGACAGGAAAGCCGCTTTGGTCGTACGACGCCGACAATTCGAGAGCTGTAAGGCGGTATAGTTTTGAGCACAAAAATTGTTATTATTTATGATTATAACTCGTGACTTTTCACACACAAATGCACTTGGGGTGTGAAAATAATTAATTCAGGTTGGCTGAGCACAATAGGTGCAAATCTCTATTATGAACTCACGCGATTCTCCCACGGTTTGTACGTTTTATTCTATTAAATACAATAGAATATTTGAAATAAAGAGAATTTATTACTATCATTTGATATGTCGTCATCGATTTTCTCACAGGATGCCTGATTTAATTCGATAACCTTGCGGTTTCAACAAACATTGAAAACTCGAGACACGTGTAGCGGAAGTTTTGCTACGTAAAATTCCTCGAATAAATTTAATGTGCTGAATCATCGACAGCATTAGCGCTTCATTGAAATCAGCTAGGAAGCTGCAACAATCAACTGAGCTGATATAATTCATGCAAATTTGTTAAAGACAAATAGATCACAAAAATGATTCAAATTTTATTTTTAATAACAACCAACAATAGATTTCAACATTAACAATAGGAAAAAAATAACAACTTTTTATTCGGAAGGCTTCATGAATTTCCTTTCAGGTTGTATTCCTATGGAGTCATTTGCAGCTCGTTTGCGGATATCGGAAAAGTTTAGACGTGGACCCGTAGATTCTGCGTTTCGATTTGCAGCTTGCTGAAATAACATACAGTACCGTGCAGTAAGATATACAATTTCACTTTTTTTATCATAACTTTCTGAAAAGTTGACCAATCGATCTGAAATTTTTGGACAAAACGGATAGTGTGTTCCAAAACATAATTTATTTATTTTGGGATACTATAGACGCAATTTTTGTGTTTTGGACCTTTTTTTTGCGTATTTTCAAAAATACGATTTTTTAAAATTTTTAAGTTTTGTCGATTTTTTTTTAGATTTTCAATGTTAACATCAGTTTTTTTTATTTGTTTTAACAAGAGACGATCAAAATGATCAAAAAACATTCTATCAGACGTTTTAAAGTAATCAAGGATGGCCGAGCACAAGGTCTTTTCATCCAATGTCTATCACACCAGTTGAACTCATCGACTTGGACCATTTGTGGATATTTGAAATTTCGATCGGATTCCAAACCACTTGGAAATCCTTCCAAAACATCCCCGGCAATCAATCACACCATTGTAAGAATCAGCAAGAGCAACCCGCGTCTATCCGATTCCGAGATTAAGCGACAACTGAGTCAGTTCTATGATGTCAACGTAGATTTTTCCGAAAAACCATGACATTTTTTCACCAAAAGTCACATACAGAACAGCGTTGATACTGCCAAGCGTCGTCTACGTTGTTCTGGATTATTTGGACGTCGGACTGTCAAAAAATCTCTCCTTTCGGAGAAGAACCGCGGAGCCCGTTTGAAGTGGGATAAGGAGCTTTTGAATTGGACTTTTCAACAATAGTCAAAGGTCGTATTGAGTGATGAATCGAAGTATATCTTGGTCGGAACGGATGTTATTACCTTTGTGAAGCGTTCGGACGGCAAAAGATTCGATCCAAAGCATGAATTATCAATGGTGAAACATGGAAGAGGAAGCGTGATGGTTTGGGGATGTTTTACTGCTTCTGGAGCCGGCCCACTTCGTCGAATCGAAGGAAATATGGATCGATTTGCGTATAAAGACATTCTAGAGAACCATATGCTTTCGTTTGCAAAGTCTTTACTCAGTGTGGATACTTATTTCAACAGAATAATGATCCTAAACGTAGTTCTCGCTTCATCAAAGAGTGGTTCTAGCAGCGTAGGGTGGCCGTCAGGGACTGACCAAGCCACTCACATGACTTGAACCCCATTGAACATTTGTAGGATGATCTTAGTAGACGTCTTGGTGGTCAAACTGTACAAAATTGTGTCGAAATTCTCGAGCAGCTGAGGAGAGCATGGATGGATATACCAGTTTCAACCCTCCCGAAGTTGACGAGGCCATGGGTCTCCGATATCAAACTGTGATCGATGCAAATGACATGTCAACAAGATATTGAGTTGTTTTAAGTTTCCTGACTGATAATTATTGTTTTCCATTTAATTTCAAGTCGTACCGGTATCAAAATTATTCAAGTCGGTTTTTCGCTATAATGGATTTTCCGATTTTTTGTCAATAAAATTTTTCCTAATGTGTTTTACACCTTCTAATTTTGATATATAATCACTCTATCGATGCTTAAAGTTGTCTAAAAATTTCAGATCGATTGGTCAACTTTTCGGAAAGTTATGACCAAAAATGTGAAATTGTATATCTTACTGCACGGTACTGTATAAATTGCATGCGAATGCTTCTTTTATTGTTTTCTCGTGAAATTTATAGTTTTCAGATAATTTTTGTCAATTTACGATTCTTATTAGACAGAAATTCAATAATTTAAAGTTTTAAATTTTCGAATTTTTATTTGAACCCTTTTTAAAAAAATTATATTTCATTTTTTTCCATGATACGTCATGTTTGTTGTTGCATGAAATTTGCAGAAACGCCAATTCAAAAATGAACCGTTGGGCGCCGGGCTCTATAGGGCTCACGCACTGGGCCGGAGGGCCTGTACTGGGCTAATTTTTACCTGACGTTCTCGTTTTGATGCAAACTTCTTGGCAAGTGAACCACCCATTCTAAAAAATCATTATTTTTATTGCGTTAAATCGAATCAACGTATGCCCACTTTTCAGCCATTTCGGCATCATTAACATCCTTTCCGTCGTTCTCATCATCATCGGATAATTCGCCATTTCGTAATCGTTCGTAATATAGCATTAATTTCTGAAATCACGGAAAACAATATAAAAAATGAGGCAATTTGTTTACCTCGATTTCTTTATTATAGCCTTTAAACGACATCCGGCCAAATTCCAGCGATTCGAGTTTCGTGTAGTCGTTGCAAAGAGTATACCTAAACAAAATCTTTGATATTTTTTCGAGGATTTAAGAAAATCTCACTTGCTATCTCCTACTGGAATTTCAGTAGTCGAAGAACCCGCCTGTTCTGATGTTTCCAGAATAGCGTTTTGCAATTCAACGTCCTTTTTCTTCTTCTCTTTTGCTTCCAGTTTTTTCTTCGTGCGTAACATGAACTATAAAAATGAAGGTTAGTTTATATTCGAATAATTAGTTTACCTTCATGTCAAGAACACCGGAAGACAATTTCTTTACACTTCTGTCAGTCGCCATCTGAAAGAAATCAGTAATCGGAAGAAAGAATATAAAATAAATGAAATGACACCACAATGGTTATTTCAAGTTCAATACAAGAGAGAGCAATTGTAACCAATAATTCGTAATATAATAAAATTGTAAACTAACTTTAATTTTTTTACAAAGAAGCCAGGTAAAAAAAATAATTTATTAGAGAATATGATAAGAAATCAAAACGAATTGAAAACATGAAAATAATTCCGTCGTTTGTGATGCATTTGTGCAAACACCGCCACGACATTTTACACCTGCAGCGAACATGGTACAATAACACGTTTGGAAATCCGCTCAACTCAACCTTGCATCCAATCGCGTCATTCATCCCTGATCCCTGACGCAACCATGTCAGTCAAAAAGATACAAAACGGGAAAATCTTATTCATTAGGTTTTGCTGATGAAAATGGCCGGCGCGTGTAGAAGAACTCTGTGTATGTATACATACATTTGACCAAACTATGCAATATCCGCAATTAAACACTGCTGTTAACCAACAAAAACTGGGTGCAAATTGATGCAATATTCCTGATCGAAGGAGAAAAACTCGAGACGATTTTCTTTCCATCTGCGCAAAAAAAATGCCCAACATTTCAATCAACTGAATATTATCGAATGCATTTTAAACAGCTTCATCTTATTTCGTTTTGCATTGGTTGGGTTTTTACGAATTACAACAATTTTCAGGAGGTCACTCGGACACCATAAAAGGAAGTTGATTCGATTATGAGAAATTCGTCACAATGAATTATTGCAGCCGATTTGGGGGAAAGAATGATGATTCGAATTATAAAAAATTATTCAGCGATATCGAACAAAGATTTATTGCTGTTAGAAATTAGAAATTATTTTTTTTCCAAAAAACGAGGCACACATTTTAGGCGAATTCATTTGATATTGTCGGCAGCCCCGCATGTACATATTTCGAACACTGATAGAAAACAACTAACTATATGTTTGATCTCTATACTATGTATAGAACAAATTTGAGTGTAAAGTGCGAACTGTTCTACTTTGGATTCTAGTTTCGCTGACTGCTGTTTTTCGGTTTCAGCCAATTCTCCTTTATTTTCGAGCTATTAGACCAAAAACAATTCATTCTTCTTTCGATGATGATAGTCATGGATCAAATGTCTGCCGTCGTGTGTCTCATCGGCTACTGTTTTTTTTTCTATCGTCCCCGCAGGCGTCGCCGTCCATCCGTCCCCGATTTCAGTCATCCGCGGCCGGCGTCAACTTTCACTTCACTTCTCTTCGATGCCTTTTCGTTCAACAAAATCCATCAGCCTCTCTCGATGACTTATATCCATTTAATTTCGGTTGCATCTCTTATTTTTGTTGTTAAAACTCGATCCTTAATTGCAGTCAATTTTTCGAGAAAAAAAAAACATATTTTCTTTTGTTGGCCGCGATAAGATAATTGAAGATAATAAGGCTTTTTGCATTTTCAATTCAAAAATTAAAATTGAAAGCTTAATATCCGAATCAAACCTTTTAACCATTATTCGTTCTTGAAAACTAACATACATTCGATATTCTTGATCCGTTTTGTCTCCAATAAATTCATCTCGTTTTCTTTTCGGCAAATAAATAGTCAGCAAATGGATTCGAACGAAATTCGAATGAATTGCGAGAGGGGTCAGCGAGAAATGAATTTGAATGCGAAAAAAAATGAGATTAAAATCATTTCCGGTCAAATTTGTGCCCAACGTAAATACGTATGTGTGTACTATCTGGTTTGTAAAAATACGCAATTTGGCGATTACCAGCCGACGGCTTTATTGCAACATTTTACTGATGTTTCGGGGCATTTTTACTATAGTAAAATCTGACCAATAATATTATTTTCGAAATGTTGAAAATAAAATGTTTATCAATTAGCATTGGAGCGCGTTTGCTTCTTTTCTTTTTTTCTATGTTTTTTTTAAGAGACGTGGTTCTCACCAAAAAAATACAGATTAAACGACATAACAATTTTTAAATCTATTAAAATTGTGACGAGTAGTTTAAAAGCGTTTAAAACTTAAAAATTGATTCAATATTTCTTTTAATTTCTCTCGAAAACATAACAAAACAAAAATTTTCCCTGTGAGACAAAATTTAAAGGCGCATACTCGGCCGACATCGTATTCATCGTTAAACTCCACAAAAAGGTGTTGAACAATATCCAGTCTTTTCTTTAAGTGGAACCTAATTGCCAAAAATTGCGAAGATGAATAATTAGTGTCGAATGGGTTGCGTCGGAAGGTGTTGTTATCGTCTCGATCATTGATCCTGTTGATGTTTGATTACTATTTTTGTAACTATACAGTATATAGATATATTTAATAGTAGGTTGACGTCAACTTTTGGTTTAATATCGTTCGGCCCCTACCAGGTATATTCGTCATTATCGACATCAAGAAACTGGTCAGTTGTCTGCCAGCTTCTGGTTTTTTTGGTGGTCATTTGCGGATTGAATTGACGGCGTCGATGAGCGAAAAATTCCATCATCATCATCATCATGCTATAGTAGTTTCACATAAAACTTGAGTGTTCTGCAACCTATTGGTATTCTAGACAGCTAACCTTGAAGCTTCACCACCACTTGAATTCATTTAATTTCAAGATCTAATCTCAATTTGTACAATTGTTAGTGTAAAATTCCACAAAAAAAAACTCGAATCTCGGTAATGTGTGAAATGATCAGTAAAGATCGCCCAGTACGATATATATATATATATATACGGTATAACCATCATCATGTTTTTGTTCAGGTCAGTGCATCATCGTTCTCGATCTTTGTTTTTTTCGAAATTTTCTCGTTTTCTTTCTATTAAAATCGACAATCATATGACGCGAAATTATCCATTTCTTCGTTCTCGAATCTTCGCATATTTTGGTCCCCTATCTCAAATACAGAAAATCAAAAAATCAACTGTTTATTTACAACGCGCCTTTATGGAAATCAACAAGTGCTACTATCTCGATAGTGTCCGCAGATTCAATTTAACATCTTGATTTCAATTGAACTATTATAGTGATTGAAGGTTTTTGGCTTAAAACCTTCAATGAGACAAAAGGGTCTTATATTAATTTTCACGCTGACTGAATATTGAACACATTCAAAATTACAGTATGCATCAAAGGTGGATGCAAAAATATAATATTTTCAATAAATAAATCGGAATTTCGCCTAAATTCCCGACAGTCTTCATAAAAAGCGGAGACCACCAACATTTTCTTTCCAAGTGTTTCACAAAAAATTATATTGTTGATTTTTTATAGCTTCTGGGGTTGATTTCCATTATATCATTTCGTTCATTTCTCATCAGAAAGTCATAAAAATTTTGGCGTTTTCATTGATCAATGCCAAATTTGGGTCCCGGCGAGATTAACAACGGCATTTTCGCTTTGTAAAAACAAAGATATTCATCAATGCGTGCGAGTATATCTGATTTAACCCCTCCCGCCACAACCAAATTTTCTTCCGTCTACTGTACATTCAGCAATTCCCTCACAACCAAAATTTTTTTTTTGTATGTCATCAAATGACGTCGTCGAGAAACATTGATGACCTCTCGATTCTTGCCGCCTCTTCTCGAAACACGAATCCATTTTGAAATTGGTTTTTGTCGTCGTGGTGTGATCGCTCTACGACGCCGTTACCCGTTCGATGAATAATTTTTTTTGGCGGCCGTCGTTGGGACACCATAAATGGCATGCTGGAGGTGGCTTTTGGTGGCAAGTTTCGGGTTCCGATGATAAGAATTCGATTGCAGCCCAAAAAATACACACAAGCACGGCGGTGTCGCTTCAAGAAGGCGGGAGAGAAGTGTAGGACATTCGAATCCAGTTTATTTTTCGCTCGCCGTCTTCTCCCGCCACTAGTGATATTCGATTTAATTCTTTCTGCGCGCACATCACACACACACACAACACCTTATTAGAAATCAATTTTCCTGTTTGTTTCACACAATTTTTTTGTAGTCTGTGGGTCGTTTGACTCCCTGATAGTCAGCCCCATCTCGAATTCGCCGAACCCATTGAATCATTACCGCGCCGACATGTTTCGATTCTCAATATCCCAAATCCCCTCCTCCTCGTTCAACTTTTTAGCGGAGAAAATTGTCTAATGGCACCATGAACACTTTGGAAAAAGAAATTCAAAAAAAAAACTGGTTTAATGTAGTTTTTCAGTCTGAAATTTGCATAACATTTTCAAGATTTTATAATGGTTATTTTTTTTTTTGCAAAATTGATTAAACCAATTATAGTAACGATTTTGCAGGTCTTTTCGGTTATTATTAAATTTTCTAAATTTTTTTCTTCAAGCCAAAACCGGTTTCAATACTGACCGGTAAAGTCGATTCATCTTATCATTGTAGCCTATAGTTCGAAAAATAAGAGGGCGTGGCTTCCTGCTGATCACCTGCCCTCTTCCAAATATGGCGCATTGTTGTTGTTGTTGTTTTTTTTTTGTCTTCGAAATTTCTCTCATCACGAAAAGCATTGAAACCAGCCACCAATCATAAACTGCTACTACTATGACTCACAATAGTACTAAATGGGTCCCGTTTAGGTTGGCCATCAGTGTTGTAACTCGTTGCCAATCGAAAGGTTGACAGAAGATTTTAGGCACTATCATTGTCTTCTTCCTTTTTAATCAACCGTTTAAATAAGCAAAAAAATCATTTTCCATTCATTTCACTTCGAGTACATCAAGTTTACTTGAGTGCGAATTTTTTTTTCTTTCGATTAGGTACCAGTTGTAGCCACTTCGTTTCGTATTCTTGTGACGCGAATTTCTCGATGATCAAATGTTCAATTGCATTTTGTTTACCATTGATTTCCCTTTTTAAGCGTGCCATCGAGACCAAAATTTTCTGAAATAAATTGAAAACCCATCATTACCACTGAAGGGTTCAACGCGCTCTGTTCGGATCTTATGACCGATTTTATCGATTTCGATCGAAAAACCGGATCGGAAAACCTTCAAGTACAGTAACTGCCCATTTCAAACATTCAAATCTATCTCGACACCACGAATCCTACAAAATCCATGCGTAGCCTCACACACACAGTGTCATTTATTCAAGATTTTTGATCTATAGATCAATTCATTCCCGCTTGCAATTGTCATACAATCTCGAGTTCATCTCGCATTTTTTTTTTGAAATTTGTTATCGAATCGATAAAAACGTACACATATCTAGGCACGTCATAGTACACAATACTAGTTTTTCCACTATATTATTGGTGTGTTTTTATTTGCTTGACTGGAAAATGGTTGGAAAACAATTCGATGAGATTGTGCTCAACGATTCAGCTTGTTCGCCGCCGTCTCTTTATGTATTTAAAGCTTCCTTCTGTTTGCACCTTTTGTATAATAGGCATGTATACTTGTACGTTCTGGCAGAAAACGAAATCGACGAAGAAAAAAAAACTACATCAACTCGATTTCGTTCTAGCCGCTGGGCCATTGTGTATGATCATGCGCGTTCACATGCGTTTCCCTCTTCGTCCTCACCCTCGACTTTTTCTCAAACTTCTCGGTGTCCCTAATATGATTGATTTTATTGTAGGAGTGATGAAGGTGCACTCCGAAAGGCCGCCAGGGTCTGACGAGCCGGGTGTGATTCGGCGGTTCGTCGAAAGTCGTCTCATCGGCAATTTCGACTCGGAGACCTTCTCGGAGGCATGGAAAAAGAAGTTCTCGCATGCGCCTACATGGTGCGATGCCGATATGTCGCTGCAGCAAATCAACAGGGTATGAGGAATGCGAATCGGGGTTCACGTTTTTCAAAATTCCCATCTGCTGACATTTCACGGGCCATTGATTATTTTGTACTTTGTGGTAAAGAATGTGCAATTGTGAGTTTGTTCTCATCTGTTGGCCTCTGATAATGTCCGCAGTTGGTTTTACCTAACATCTCAGTTGCTTACTGTCACATAGATGAACAATGTTTGTTACATTTTTCTTATGAATGCAACGTCGTTTTAGGGAAAAGCTCGTGGAAACCGTATTGCCCTTTATGCCCGCGCATTCTTCCAATTATGGCTCTACCGAATCGGATGCTTCGTTCAGACCTATGCGTGGTCAACAATCCTTATAAGGTACTTATTAATTCAACATACGTTTGCAAATTCGTCGCCCGTATTCAGTATGGTTTTGTACACATTATGCCTCGGCGGTTTGAAAAACGTGGTCATTGAGACCGATCTTGTCAAATTGTGGGTGTCGGAAGGCGGAAGACTCAATGAGGAAATGAACTATTTGGCGAGTGTGCGGAACACTGCGCAAAGGGTTCGTTGATTATGATTTGAATAATGACCGATTGGAAGGATTGCAGGTGAAACGAGAAGCTGCCGGTGCCCGCAGAGGACCAGAACTGCCCAAGGAGAATGGTCTCGGTGGAGGGTTCCAGGTGGTTATTCAAACACCATCCTATGAAGGGGAAAATGTTTTGACGAAAGAGGCTCTTCAAAGACATACCAAATTGATGCAGGAAATTGCGAATTATGAAGTTGATATGTTCAATGAGTAAGTGTCGAATGCCCGATCTCTTTTCCTCATAACTCACACTCAATTTATAGGAAATGGACCCTTTCTGATATTTGCTTCAAACCGCCTGGACCATCTTTCAACAGCGGACCATTGGCAGGAATTATGTCGAAACTGCTTGATAAAATCATACCCTGCATTTGGATCACTCCAGTAGATTGCTATTGGGATGGAGCAAAGGCTCTTGGGCCAAACCCACCACTCAACCTTGGGTATGTTTGAAACGTCACTTCACCCGTACTAGGAGATAATTAATTCGCAGACCAGAGGTCACGAGTTTTATTTCATCGCTTCCACAAGGAAATGTCACGTGGAAGAATCTTAATCCAACGTCGGTTATCAAGGAAGTCGGACAACTATTTGATCTGGGACCAATCGGAAACTTCTTCGAGCGTGTGAGTCCCACAACTAACTCACTTTTCCAATTTCTCGTTTTTCATTCATTCAGGCCGGTATTGACGGAGCTTATCTCGATCGGCCGTGCATTGATCCGCTTGAAGAGGAATGCCCGAAATCGGCTCCAAACTACTTTGATAAATGCGCTTCATTGAAGAAGTTCAACGAATGGAATTTGGCGAAATCGCTTGAAGAGCAGGTGAGAATTTATTCGAAATTACTATTCCGATCGATATTGTTCAAAACTTTTCCGTGCGCTTCGAGTAGGTGACGTTGGTGGTGAGACGTCTTTGAGCACTTTGATGAATGCTGCAATTTTGCTCGAAATCTCTTTGTCGCTGATCTTCCGCTGAAAAATGAGTTGATTGTCAGGAATTGAGGGATTTTCGCTTGAAACTTTTATATAGTCTAGAACGATTTGATAGATTGACAGGTATTGAATTAAGCATTCAATTGCGCCAGGCCTTTGTAACTTTATGCTCGTCATGATGTCAAGGATTTTGGGTTCGATTCCCTTGTTCAGAAGGGATATGGCGATGAGAGCTGCTAGAAATGAGCAAGCTCTTCCGGAGCCCCATAAGCTCACCACACAGATTCCGGCGTTTTGAACCTGCAAATCAAATTATTTACGAGCTTCCATTTCATGGATCACCTCCTTCTCTGAAAGGAATGAATGAATCATTTTGATAATCAATCGAAGCTTGATTGGTTGTCGCGCCTTTTCCCACGTCAGAACTTGATGCACCTTCGTCATCACAGCGTCAGAACAGCCTTCTGGCAGCACCTCGATGGTGTGGAACTGAAGGTCTGGGAACGTTTCGGCTTTCCGATTGTTGATGAACATCTTGCCGATGTATTGGAATGCGCCGACTTCTTCGCAGAACAGTTTTGTCGGCGCTTTCTTGATTTCGTCCTGAGTGCATAGCAGATAAACGATGGTGATGTTCTCCTGATAGATCATCTGCCAAAAATCCTCGACGAAACTCTCGTTCTCCATTTGAGGCAACTGCGCGACGATGATCTTATTCGGCACATCTTTGAGTGTCACGAAACTCGCGTTGATGTAGTTGATCTGATCAGGACCCGGTCGATTGAGCACCACACGGTTTTCGTCAAGAACTGGGTATTGCTGAACGAGAATGGAACCGGTCTGATTATCGTAACATGATAACGAATTGCGCGAATACCTGATTCCGATTTCGTTCGATGTAGTTGTGGAAGAATGTCGCGGGTTTGGAGCAATCAATCGAATTCAAATAACTAAACTCATTCTTCAGCTTGTCGACGTCTGAATTCAAGATTCAGGAATTGTTTCGAATGTTCCGAATGAGTACCACTGTTCTTTTCGAAGAAGCTCTTGGCCACCTCATTTCCGACCCACGTTGGTTTCACTGGAGTTAATCCATTGATGACACGCGCTGTCTCCAACCCTTCATCCATATCCAAGGATCTCGTCACTTCTTGCTTCTCCCGCTCTGCTTTTCGCTTTTCTCTCTAAACTTGGGAAATTGTCCGAAGCTCAAATTTCTGATAGTCACCCTAGCTTTCCTCTCTTTCTCCTTATCTTCCTTCTTCTTCTCATCGTCTGGTAACAATGGCTTCTTTGTGAGATCATCATCGAGCTTCTTCTCAATCACCACCGGCTTCATTACCGATCTTTTAGTCTTTGAAGCACTTCGACATTTTTTTGAATCAATCGCACTAAATTCGATTTCAAATGTTTCCCTATAACGAGCTAATCCTACTTGGCTATACACAATTCTTCGACACTTGTGCTCTTCTTCGGATGTTTGCGAAGTGTGCCGCGAATTCTGTTGATAATTGACTCCTTCTTTTTAGCTTTATTCATATATGTTTCTTCTTTTCATATAATAATACAAAATAATGAAATGAGTGGAAATGAGTTCTTCATAATCACGTGATCTCGTCTTTTTGCAGATCCAACTCACACGCAAGCCAATTCCGAAAGATGAGCCCAAATCCGATATTGCCGAAACGATTCTCAACGATATTTTTGGGAAGAAGCGTAGAAAGCGTGATGCTCAAGTGGATTCGAAGGCGTCGTCGAAGAAGGATGAAGACTACTATGCTTATGAAGATGATGCTGATTATCTTGATGGAATCGCCAATTCAAGTAAGCCGACTAAATTGCCAAAAAAGCTAATGCAAATTTTTTTTCAGCCGGAACCAAAAAGCCCGAAGTGGACACAACGTGTCTTGAGTACGGATCATCATTCCTCGAGTGGATGAGAAACAATCCGGATCGTCATGGCGAGTTCTTGACGAAAGAGGAGATGCCAAAGTACCCCAATTATGGTGACGTGATGACCGGCGGATGCAAAGGATTTGGAAAGAAGATTATGGAATGGCCAGAGGATTTGATAATTGGAGGAATCCAGAGAGAGAATGGTAAACTCAAATCAGCCGAGGCACTTCAATCAGTCTTCCTCGTCTCGTCACCATATGATGTGTTCTTGAGAATCTCGGTAAAAAAAAACAATCAACTGAAAAAAATCGTCAAATTTTCTTTGTTCAGCAAGACAAGTCCGACAGCCATCCAAATCTTGACAAGAAACGCTGGAGTCCATTCATGGCCGAGCAAATCATCTCATCGTGGCAGAGAAACTTCACAAAGAAGCTCTACGGCCATGAGATGAATCATCAAGTGGAAGGGACCAGAGTCTTTCATCCATTGGCTTCTACTTCCATCGCCGATATGCTCGAGGAGTTCTCCCAATTCAACTACATCATCATCGTCATTGGATACGTGTTGATGGTAGATCAAACATTCTGCTGGAACCTGCTCAAATCCCATGATTACAGGTCATCTATGCTGCATTCACACAAGGTCGCTTCCAAGGATATTGGCTCGCAATTCAATCGAACGTCGCTCTCGCCGTCGTTGGTGTCATCCTCGTCACCTTCTCGTCGATTTGCGGATTGGGTTTCGCTACTCATCTCGGTATCAACTTCAACGCCGCCACCACTCAAGTCGTTCCATTCCTCTCTCTTGGCCTCGGAATTGATGACATGTTCTTGCTGCTCCATAACTACGATGAGATTATCAACATTTGCGGGAAGAATGAGATCGGAGTGCTGCTCAAAGAAACCGGAATGTCTGTTATGGTGACATCGATCAACAACATTCTTGCGTTCATCTCGGGATACGTTCTCCCAATCCCAGCTCTTCGCTCGTTCTGCTCCCAAACCGCCATCCTTCTGCTCTTCAACTTGCTCTTCCTCATGTTCATCTTCCCGGCCATGATCGGAATCGATCTTCGCCGTCAACGACGCGGTCAACGTGATCTTGCCTACTGCTCAAAGGGTGTCAAGAAGATGCCACCAAGCGAGAGTGTCCCATCGAATGTGTCGAATGTATGTCGCTTCAGTGTTTAATCGTAGTCAGCGTGTTATACAGAAATCTCAGGTTTCCTCAAAAGCGGAACTTGCCGCATACAATGTTGCCGAAGAATTCAAGAGATATGAGCCATGGTATACTGTTGGAGGATTCTTGAACAATATTTATATACCAGCCCTTAAAAAACCACTAGTTAAAGTATTGACTAATAGCTAATAAATTAGAGATTTACTAGATTTTTGTAGGCTATAATTCTTGGAGGAACGTTGACTGCCGTGATCTTTGGATTATATGGAATGTATTCGTCGACTCTTGGTCTTGAATTGGCCGATGTTCTCCCTGAACATACTCCGCCAGCAGCATTCCTTAGGTATTCGCAATCCGTTTAATTTATTACTAATACGATTGACGCCTGTTCAGAGCCCGCGAAAAATACTTTTCCTTCTACCCAATGTTTGCTGTCCTTCGTGGAAATGCCATCGATATTCCAAATCAGCAACAACTCATCGAAGAATATCGAGATCAACTTGGAACGTCAAAATACATGCTCAAGGCTGAAGGAAAACTGCAGCCCTACTGGATGTCAATGCTTCGAGTTTGGCTTCAGTCTCTCGATAAGGCATTAGAGAAAGATCTGGCGGATGGAAAGTTCGACTTGAAGACCGGCAATCCGATCAAGGTTAATGGAGAGGTAATGCACCAATCGAGTTTGAATTACACAGTGAAACGTGTGATTTGCAGAAACCAATGCCTGAAGCAATGATTGCCGCGAGATTGGTGTGCTCATTCGGAAATAAATACGACTGCAACGGCCGATTGGGAAAGATCAAGATGGTCGATGAGCATGGAATTATCCGGCCCGACGCTTTCTATAATTATCTGACTGCTTGGTACAATGTTGATAACATGATGTACTATGTCTCCCAAGCTTCCTTCTTCCCACTTCCTCCAGGTTGGGAGTACAGCGAGGTTCGACACTTATTCGGAACTATTCATTCAAATTGCTATTTTGTATTTAGAAAGACGCCAAAGTCGTTCCTGCAGCTCCAAAACTCCTCTATTCACAAATTCCGTTCTACCAGAACGAGCTCATCGATACTCCCTCGATTGTCAAGATGATTGAAGAGATTCGTGGAATCTGTGAAGAATACACTGATCGCGGACTTCCGAACTATCCGTCCGGAATTGCTTTCACTTTCTGGGAGCAGTACCTATCGTTGCGAATGAATCTGTTCATGGCAATTCTGATCATTGCTGCCGCTGTCTTCACTGTCATCTCGGTGCTTATGTTCAATCCATGGGCTGCTTCATTGGTAGATTAAACAATTCTATGAAAGCGCATAGCACTTGTATTGCAGATCATGACAATTGTGGTAATTACTACAATTGAACTTGGAGGATTCATGGGATTAATGGGAATCAAGATGAACCCGATTTCGGCTGTCACTTTGATCTGCGCTGTGGGAATTGGTAAGGCCTTCAAGGTCACACAAGTCATGTTCGGCATTACCATTTCTAGGAGTCGAATTTACTGCTCACGTCGAGCTTGCCTTCTTAACAGCACTCGGAACAATTCATCAGCGTTTGGAATCTTGCTTAAAACATATGTTCGTCCCGGTGTATCATGGAGCAATTTCGACATTCCTTGGAGTCGTCATGCTTGTCTTTTCTGAGTTTGACTTCGTCGTTAAATATTTCTTCTACACAATGACGGTTCTCGTGGCACTCGGTGTCTTCAACGGACTTTGTGTGCTGCCAATCATTTTGACGTTGATTGGTCCTGAGCCAGAATTGACGCCGAATGATGGATCAGCGCATTTGGATCCGCCGCCACCATTGAGCGAACAACGCTCCGGCAAGGATATTTTCAGTGAAAGCGGCTTGAAGAAAAGAAAAAATAAGAAGTCATCGGAGGTGACAACTATATCTTGTCATGAAAATGTTCGTCGTTTTTAGGTCGAAATGTCCTCAAGAGACTCTCCATCAAGATCTTCTGACGAGGAAGCGTCTGATAGTACGGTTGTTCATCGAAAAGAGTAGTCATAGTCAATGTAAACGGATTTCTAGAACTTATTTTTATTATTTTTCTTCACTTTATATAACTCTACTTTTATGTATTCCAAGCTCACTTACAACATTCTTTCGTTGTTGATTTTTGCTGCAACGGGTCTCACCTTTTCATTGTCTTCGTAACTATCTGTACTATATTGCTAAACGCAGATTGTGCCTTTTCTTGTTTCAAATCTCTCTGCATATGTTTCCTGTTTTATGATCTTTTCTTTCGTACCCTCCCCATTGATTTTTTTTGACGCCCCGGAGAATAAATGAATTATACTTTAATATATGTGATACTGTTCGCAAATATACGCAATCATGCAGTACAGTGTTTGCAGGCAAATTATTTTTTCGAAATTTCGGCAGACTTTTTATTGCTCTTTTCTCATGGAATTCTGAAAAAAAACATCAGTTTTAATACTATTTGTAATTAAACCATTGTTTGAAAAATTGTTTTATTTCATTCGAACAAAAAGAAAGATAAACAATTGGGTCGAATTTTCGAAAACGAAATCGCAAAGTTTTTAGTGCATGTGTTTCGCTCCAAGGTCTCCGCGGAACATTCGCCCGTCAGTTCCATTTGTTATGACTTTCCGTCCTCGTTCATTTTTTTTGGTCGAGTATGTCAAGGTTACACGGCCCACAATTGGTTATCATTTCTCGTGAAAATTTGCTTCGTTTTATATGAAAACCACCATTTTTTGCAAAATAAAACTCAAAAATTTATGTCAACATTTGTGATGTGTGCAACGTGGTTGTCAGTCACCCTGCGTCTCTCGCTCGTGGTGCAATTCATTTTAGTTTTCGTTCATCATTTTCTTGCGTTCGAAATGGACCGTCGTTCCAGACCGGGTAAAATGAGCCGTCAACCGGAGACATCGTCGAACTTGAAGCTGATTTCATTGGTAGTGTTGATCGTCCAAACAACAGCACTCGTATTGACACTTCGGTACAGTCAAACGCAGGTTTTTTTAAAGATTTTTTAAATTTATTTTTAAAAGCTAAAAATACAGCCAACCGACGGTCCCAAGTATCTTTCATCGACAGCGGTCGTTTGTGCTGAAATAGTAAAACTGTTTACATGCTTCTTCGTTTTATATAGGAATAATGGTAATTTAATTAAAAAAATATTTTCCGAAAGTTGTTTTAGGTTATCGAATTTCTGGAATGATGTATGAATTGAATCGAGAGATTTTTGCGACACATCAAACACGAATGGACACTTTGAAAGTAATTTAAATCTAAAATTTTGCTGAAATTCGAAAATATTGCAGGTTGCGGTTCCAGCCATCATGTACGTAGTGCAGAATAACCTCTTGTTTTTTGCTCTTAAAAAATTAGATGCTGCCACCTACCAGGTTATTTTTTTCAGAACTCCCAATATTTAATTATTTTTCAGGTGACATATCAACTCAAAATTCTCACCACTGCTTTCTTTTCCGTTGCTCTTCTCGGGAAATCGTTGAATCGCTACAATTGGATGGCTCTGATCCTCTTGACTGCTGGAGTAGCTCTTGTTCAAGTAAAATTGTTCTCGAGTAACCTGAAAAATATAGTTTTTAGTACCCGAGTGGAGACGCCAAACCAAAAGCAACAGAACACGAGGCTTCTGACAATATTTTGGGTCTTGCTGCTGTTCTTGCCGCCTGTTTTTCCAGTGGATTCGCCGGAGTGTACTTTGAAAAAATTCTCAAAACTTCTCACGTGTCGCTATGGATTCGAAATGTCCAACTTGGTGAGTTTAAAATTGATCTTCTTGCTAGTACATGTGCAAATCATTTCTAGCATTTTTCTCGGTATTTGGAAGCTTTTTCGTGTGTTGGTTGTATGATTGGGAAGCGATTAATCAGGATGGATTCCTTCGCGGTTACAACAAAGTCATCTGGATTGTTGTCATGCTTCAAGTAAACATTAAAATTATGCCCAGAATTCAATTTGTATATACTTAATTCTAACAAAATCAAAAATCTAAAAAATATATTGTCGAAGTCAAACGACTTAACGAAATTAAAAAAAAAAATATTGGCTATGTGCCAATGTGTCTCGAGGCCACGAGAAATTTGCGAGATTGCGTACATTGAATTAGGTATATTATTAATATTAAGTCAGCGATAAATTTAAATCTACACTGAATTTTTTGCGAATTTGAAGGCTTCGCCTTCCTTCAGTCTGCGACAATACAGAAAAATAATCGATTTTTAGGCTTATGGTGGACTCGTAATTGCTCTTGTTGTCAAGTATGCTGATAATATTCTCAAAGGTTTTGCTGTATCGCTCTCGATCATCCTTTCATCATTGATGTCATGGCTTGTTCTAGGAGATCTCACGATTACCACGTAAGTCTTTTACGCAAAATTCAAACGTCTACTTTATTGTCAATGCAAATTTTATTGGTCACACAAGCCTAAAAATAGGACACCAGAAAAGAGTCCTCACGGGTATACAAAACTATGGTAAATTTTTCGTTTGCAAACTCGAGATGATTTCCGACGTGACATTTTCAACAATGTTCAAATTTTAATTTAAAAAACTGACCTTGAATTCCATTCCAACATTTTTCAATCAAAGTTGAATATTTTTAGAACATTCACCATTGGTGCAGCCATCGTCATCTTTGCCACGTTCTTATATGGTCATGAACCGAAAAAGCCGGTTGTTGTTCACAGTGCCTAATTCTACAATATCACCTATAATAATTTTTGTTTTGAATTATTCATTTATTGCACGGTATTTTCTAGTCAATGACAGGTCGCGCATTTTATTGTTGTTTTGCTAATGTTTTATTGTTTTGTGTATTCCTAATTTATGCGGTATAGTAAAAAGAATTTTGGGGTCTGGATAGTGTCGTATGAATGAGCACGGACACATATGTTTTACAATCGGAGAGCCGCCGCAGCATCGCCGACTGGGTCGACGACGATGCTGCCAAAACACCCATTCGTTGGCGCACTAAATCATCGTGTTTTATGGGTTTCGCGATCTGATGTTGCTATATGCTATCAGAATCGTTGGGGCGGAGTGCGACATTGTGCGAGCACTAATCCGCGTTTATGTCGACATTCACATTCGGCTCGCCTTGTCTCTGTGAATGTGTACGGTCGCATTCAAATTGCGGCCAATCATCGCGAAATTGGTACCAATTTTTCATTCTTCTTTTTCTTAATCATCATTACTATTATAGTATAAATTATTTTAAGTGATTGTTTCTTGGTGGAAAAATTACCGATTATTCAAATTTTGGAAAATTCTTGATATTTCTAATTTTGAAATTGTCTGAAAATAAATTAATCTTTCAAAACGTGGGTCTTTAATTAAGTAATTTCTGATTATATAAAATCATCATTTCAAGAAAATGTTTTGTGAATGTTGTGAAAATGTCTTTTTCGAAAACAGGGAAATTAAAATCAAGTAAAAGGAGATCTCATTCGTTAAAAAGCTGAAATGCAACCATTAGTACCAATCTTGTTTTTGAAAATATAACTCCCATTCCTTATTCGTAAACGTCAATCGTCATCCATCATGTTCCGCTCGTTCTTTTCGTTCTTTCTAAGACCTTTGTGGAATGTTCCAGCTCATCGGCCCCCAAGGTTTCTTTTTTTGTTCTTGGAAATGTTCCCTCGTTTTGTGAGCCACAAAAAACTACATATGATGGTCTCAATCGCATTGTGTTCTCCGTGAATTTCGCAATTCCTCCCTTTCTCCACACCCCGTCCGAAGCCATCGTTTTCTCCAACCCAGCGCCCTCCGCACCATTTGATTTATAACCATTTTGCGAATGCTTTGGGTGTTGCGAATCGCAAAATTTATGAGCGGCGGCGGCGGCGGCGACGTCGTCGTCGTCTTGTTCATCATCGCAGTACTCGCAACCAAAAAAACTTTGTCCCTTTTCATTTTTCGTTATTTTTTCCGATTTTCGACGTTTGAATATGCGAATTTGACCGAATGGACCTCATACGATACTTGCTCGTGTTCGTCCTACTCCTCGTTGAGTGCTGCGATGGATTGTCGTGGTTGTAAGTTGCCGAGATTGGAATGAATCAGTTTGATGGATTCTTCTAGATCACTGGGTCTCGCCACGTCGAGAATTGAGAGAAGCAAACCTGGAAACTCTTGCAAATCGCTGAAAGGCCTCACGAGAAGGCAGATGAGGTCGGTTTTTTTTTCAATTCAAAACGATTGTGATGGAGGAACGAATTTGTCAGAATTTAAATGTTAATTTAGTTTTCAAAATGTGTTTCATAGTAGATCAAATCGAAAATGATTGTAATACGTGTTGCTAAAATAAGCAACGCTCTCCGAAATATCTTCGGCCTCGACTAAATTCAAAAGCGATTACATCAAAAATGATATTATATATTTTACTCAAACGAAACATATTTTTTCATATTTCAGATTTTGCAAAAAGAATATTGATCTAATGGATAGTATTCGTGGCGGAGCCCTAGCCGCACACGCCGAATGCCAATACCAATTCCACAAACGTCGATGGAATTGTACCCTCATCGATCCGGTTACCTACGAGGTGATAAGTGATGTTTTCCTGAATGAGAACACCCGAGAATCGGCATTTGTTCACGCGATTTCATCAGCAGCCGTCGCTTATAAGTTCGATTTTTCATTCTTTCCAAACAAATTATTGGCTTCGTTTTAGAGTGACTCGTGATTGCGCGCGCGGAATCAGCGATCGATGTGGTTGTGATTATTCGAGATCGACTAATACCGCGGTTCAAAACGATGCATCCAAATTATTGTCGAAGTCAATATTTGCAGAGATCCGATTATATGTATCAAGGATGTTCAGACAATGTCAAATTTGGAATTGGAGTTTCGAAAGAGTTTGTGGATGCTGCTGAAAGAAAACCGGGTTCGCATTTTTCTAGTTTTTCATCTCTTGATAGGCAATGCAGAGAAAATTGAAAAAAAAAGACAAAATAGGAATGCAAAAAAAAAAGAATAAAATTTTTATCGATGGAATTTTTCGGCAGATGAAAACTGATTCAGTGTAATCTATGTACTTATTATGCACTAAATAAATTTACAAAAAAACAATCGTTTGGTTAATGGCAAAAATTTCGATTCAAATTAATAAACTTGCAAAAATAAAATTTTTTGCATGCTCCTTTAAAGCGTACATCAGCAAAAAATCAAGCGTTTTGATATTCAAAAAAAAACATCAGTATTTTCAGAAATCGCCCATAATTCGAGCAGGCCGATACCTGAGAATGTGCATGTCATCAATTTGCACAACAATCAAGCCGGACGGCAAGTCTTGGAGAAAGCGCTTCGGCGCGAATGCAAATGTCATGGAATGAGCGGTTCATGCGAAATGAAAACTTGCTGGGATTCACTTCCTCCATTTAGGTAATCATTATTCGATTGGGACCATTTATGGAAGTTTTCAGAGAAATTGGCATGAATATTAAAGACAAATTCGACGGAGCTGCCGAAGTCAAAGTTGTGAAGGATGATGCACAAGAGAAGCCGAAGATCGTGATGAAACATTCGCAATTCAAACGGCATACTAGTGCCGATTTGGTGTATATGACGCCATCTCCCGACTTTTGCGAAGCGAATCCGGCGAGGGGAATATTTGGAACGAAAGGAAGACAATGCACACAATCGCCGAACGCTATTGATGATTGTAGTCTGGTAAGTAAGCTGTAACCAGTATCAGCAAAAATGGGAGAGGGGGTTGTGAGTCGTATAGGTCCGGGCTCAGCGCCAAGATGCTTCTTATTACCAAGAGAAATTTAATAATACATACCTTCGACATTTTGCGAGATACGGCAATTTGTCTTATAACCCTGCCTGTAACCATGTCCGCAGCACGGCTAAATCTAATAAATATAAAATTTTCGTTGTCGGTATCGCGCGGCTTCGGAAAATTGGCTAAGAAACAATGATAATGGTCCTGGCCCAAGTTAAAAAATGTACATTTACGCGATAATTTTAAGGATAGGTTAAAGGCGCACATCGCACCAAACCCGCTACCATAATTTTTTGGCATTTAGCCAATTTTATGAGGTCGCGCTACACCATTACATTATTGTATAATTTCAAAAAAAATGATGATATGTGCTTGTTTCAGCTCTGCTGCGGTCGGGGATATGAGAAGAAGGTTGAAATAATCGATGACAAATGCAATTGCAAATTCCATTATTGTTGCCGAGTCGAATGCGATCCATGCCAGAAACGCGTCGAGAAATTCTTTTGCTTGTAAAAAAAACCTTGAGATCTTTCTTTTTTGTTCGCCGAATTCGGTGAGCTTCTTCCTTCCTAACCATCACAGCTTTATGGGTGTTTTCTGTTCGATTCGTTTTTGACATTGATTTCTTTTTATTGATTTTTTTCTAGTCCTCGTGCATATAATAATTCGGCAATAAATTTGATAAATAAATTTATTTACATTATTACACTGGGTCTGGTTTAAGAGATCAAATATTTAAAAGTGTTCCTTCGAAATTTAAGGGAATGAGGTTCTGGAGATCAGCAGAATTTTCGCGTTGTCATTTCCAACCCATACACTTCCTTTTTCATCTGTTTGCGCGTATGGAAACCACGGATGAGGTGTGGATTGCGGAGCATGAGTCGTCGTCTGCTGGGCGACTTGCTGCTGTCTCAAAAGTTGCTGCTGCTGCCAGTACCTGTAGGATGTCGCCAGTTAATTACAGTGAATTCACGGCAGAGAACCAACCAGTTATAATATTGCTGTTGGCGGTATGCTTGAATCTGCTGCGGCGTCCATTGGTTCCATTGCTGAGGGCTGACTACTGGTGCGAGGGCGAGTAGAATGACCAATGCGATTGTGAGAGAAGAACAAGAACACATTTCGTTGCGAATTGTGATACTAGACCCAATCGAGGCGAACTTATAAATCGCGATGGGAAAGTGGGAGGGTTTTGACGATTTAGAATTATTTCGAACGACGGAATCGAAAAGTGATCACTACAAATTTCTTCTACGTCTAGTTGGAATATGTACCCAATGATCCAAATTGGCTGATGGGTCAAAATATCAAGGTCAAAATATATATTCCAATCAAGGAGAATCGTTTGAACTCCAGCTGATCGTATACCACCTTCAGCGGAACTGTCGTGGTAGGTTAGAAGTTCAAGAGATCAATTTGAGAGGTTTGCTTCGAAATACAATCAAAATATAAACAAAGCCATAAACAAATTAATTTATAAAACATGTTAAGCACATCATGCATTCAAAATATTCTGGTTTACAGTTTTGAATGATCGGTTTCTATTACGGATTCATTGTTGTCGTCAGTGTGCGCGCTCGTTCTCAAAATTGTCAAAAAATCGATCTCGCTTGAAATTTTAAAGATCGATCGAACCCGAGATCGATCGAGCATGTCAAGCACTCGTGATCGATCGATTCCGCTCGATCGAATTGGACCAAGATGGATCGTACTCGAACGAGCGCTCACACCGGTTGTCGTATTTCAAAATTCAATCATACTTGCCGTTTTTTTATTCGAAACCTACATGTAATGAATTGGAATATTTTATAATCTTCAGCTAGTCCGTTTTCATTGAATTTCATACCGCTTAAACGTCTAGTTTCTATTTTCACTGAGGTCAGAAAATACTCCATTTTGCCTACCGTCTATGCCACAAATTTTAATGTTGGGAAATACTTCATCATTCACACCACACGTGAATATCTGCGAATCTTTGAGGTTGCCTAATGCTTCTATTTACGTATTAGTGTCGTATGATCGTTTCCTAAATTAGTTATTGGGCGGCAACTTGTTATGATAATTCCAACTTCCGATCTCGTCAGCCCAACGGAAACGGTGTTCGTCTAATAGCCGGTTTTATTGTCGCGAATATCAGTGACCGGTGAGAAGTTTATCATATGGTTTCAATGACCATTTATAGAAAAACGACGACCCGCAACAAATGTTTTTTTTGTGGTTAACATTCCAACCGAGATTTGGGTAAGTACCGTTTAGCAATTATAAGTTCTATTATCATATCATTATTCAATCAGCATTTTCTCAATAGAAAAATTGGTTAGTTATTACTCGTGCAAACTTCCAAGAATTGATTTATTCAGCCAAAACCGAACAAACGAATGGTAGAGTCCGCAACCGTTTGAAATAAACTCTAACATTCAATCGGATGACGAAGGCAGCGAGTGGAATAAAAGTGACAACAGGAAAATGTATCTCATCATCATACCCATTAAAATAACAAAATGCACAAATAAATAGTAAGTGTTTGGGAAATACCAACTAACCCAAAAAATCCAAAAAAACAAAAAAAAAGCGGTGATGAAGAATGTTAAGCGTTAGTTTCGGAAGCCATGCTCGGCGATCGTCTGCTGCAATTGACCCGAATCGGCACAATTGGTCATCATTGCTGTATAGATGGAATTGTTGCGAATAAATGCGGAACCTTGGGTTCCGACGAACTGGTATGGCTCATTGAGAGTCAAATTGCAATAGACGTCCAACTGAAATGAGTTAGTAATTATTAGTGCGCTTTTGGTGAACATTTTCAGCATGCTTTTCGATTCAGAATATTCACAAATTCATTCATTATTTTATTGAACAATCGATGTCTCACTTTCTCCGAAAAAAATTCTTCGTAGGAATTCATTCCGCCTCGAATCAGCACTTTGTAGCCAGCCATTTTTCCCATGCAGATTTTCCCCTAAACATTTTTTTTTGTTGATAAAATTTGGATATAGATGGACAACTCACGATTCTATAGAATGGATGGTATTTGATAACCTCGACTTTGAAGTAGAAAAGTCGGTCCATATGGGATTTCTTTTGGAATAGATTCAACGTGGGAATGCACAATTCGCAACGAAGGACGAACGAGCTGATTCCTGTTGGGGTTATTTTTAGCTCGCCGCTAAGTCGATCTGCAAATTGGAGATTTGAATTAAATTCGAATTTGATTCTTGCCGTATTCGAATAGGGAGTTCGCATTGGCAGCAAGAGTTTCGAGATTCTCGAAATCCAAATACAGCGAATCCTTCTCGAATGTCATGCAGTTCTTCTCGGTCGTATCTTCGATATCTTTGAAGAACTCATCGATTCTAAACACACAAATTTCGCCTTATAATGAATGGAAAACGCACATTTGCACGATATTCGAATCCTTAACCGGCTCATCGTTCATTAGCTTCTTACCGAGATGCTGAACAAATCTTCGGTACGAGTGTGTCGTGCTCTTCGGATCGATGATATTCGGCACATAGCGGAAAATGAACGGGCAGCTGAGAAGAAAGTCCTGGTATTCTGTCAATGAGAGGAATGGACAGTCAACATTCTGAAACAAACCCGCAAATTGTCGGCTGATATATTTGGATATGGCTTACATTGGCATTGCAGGCATTTTGAATATATTGATACGACGTTTCGATTTTAACGCTTCCGATTTGCGAATAGAGCATATCGAGATATTCGATTTTTGAGACCAACGTGAGAACCTTGTTTTTAGCTTGTCTACGGCTCTGAATCATTATTTTTTTCAAAATATTGATAATCAAATTGATGTACCAAATTGTAGAAACGAGTCAGCATGTACTGACTGATCGCCTCGTCGAACTTCTCGACATCAACTTGAAGGAATTGTCTGGAAAAAATCGAGGATTCTAAAGAAAATTTGTCTAGACTTACTCGATTTGGACGCGATTATAATGAAACGTGCTGATTTCGTTCATTTTCGACAAAAACGAATGGAAATTTTAGGCCCAATCGGAAATTCGAAATACACTTCAGACGCTCGCCCCTCCTAGATTCGCGGCCACCTAATTGGAAGGAGCTCGGCCAGCGCGGGACATTTGAATGTTCAAATCGCGAATCACTATCAAAGAAAATGTTGTGTTAGCAATTTGCCATCAAAAAATATGATTGATACAAGTTAATAACAGATGGTGAAAGTGAGCAACTCGCGCGAGAATATTGACAGATTCCGGCCGTATTATTTATGATGCGCGGATCGCGTCGACTAGGCCACATGGTTCATCGGAAACAGGCAAAACATTAATTTTTTTTCGAATATTTTTATTCAACAAAAATCCGTTACGAACTTGCAACAATTGTTGGAAACAAAACATAATAGGCGTGTTTTGTTTACCATCTACAGTAACCGGTTACTGTAGCTTCATGGCCCGTTCGATCATCGTTTTAAGGTTGCAAGATGTTTGATAAATTGGCTAAATGTCAGAAATCGTCACGAGACCAGTGCACCTCTTAATTAAGAACGTGTGATGCTCTAGAATCGACACCCATGTTTCGAGACCCAACTCTACAGTATCCCCAGTTGCGCCAAATCGACAATACCTCGTTTCCAACATTCAACAAACCATATATTCATGTTTTTATATCGGATTTTCTAAAATTCAATCCTTTTCCCACAATTCTATAACATTTGACTCTTACCGTATAATTGTAAGAAGATTGCAGCCACAAAAATCTGGTGATATACAAATATAAGGTCATGCTGGTTTAATTCATTTTCAAAAATCACGTCGCTTTCGTTTTTCAAGTTTTTTTTTTGACACAATACTGCAATAACATCTGAAAATCATGATTCGGAATTAAAAATCGAATATTTTCAAAAATTTAATGCAATTTTCAAAAAAAAAGTTTCTTTATTCAAAAAACGCAATTCAATCTTTAAATGAAAGAAATAATTAAAGGATCAGTCAGAAAATGAGCTGGGTCTTGTGGCCATTGATTCTGGTAGCCGTTTTATGAAAACAGGCAGTTAAACGAGCACCTTTTTTATTTACTGCACCGTGGGTGCTCGTTTCTTTGATAACTGTGTTACCCACGTTACCTTCAGCCACTTAATGCGCTGTGCACGTTTCTCCCAATCATCGTGCCATTAAAATTTTATTTGATTACATTAGTATCACATTAATTAGCCATGAATCAATGGTACAGCAATAGTACAAGAAAAGAAGAAATTGTTGAAATGAAAAGAAAAAGCAATATTAGTGATAATCGCCCGAATCGTAATCGATTTTTGCAGAAAAATATATTAATAAAAAGAAGGGGAATCAAATTGGGAAAGGAAAAGCATAAATGCGATATTATTTCGGTACAAGTATAAAAACGAACGTTAAGAAAACCAAATAAGGCGAAAACAGCAAGAATACACACGAAAAAATGAGAAGAAGGGGGCAAAAATAAATTAAGTTGAAACTATATTAATAAAAATTAGCGCCAGGCTACAATTTTCAGATCGCTAAACTTTTGAGATATGTCTTCAGGGTTGTATTGAGTGTAAGTTTCTCCTCAGCTGTAAAAAATTTTTCCAGCGATTTTAATAAAACGACAAAAAAATCGGTACCTTTTCGTTGTCTCCATTCTCTCAAATAAGCCGCTTTTCGCGCTTTTTTCTCTTCTTCGTTCTGAGGTGGTGGATCACGCTTCTCTTCAGCTTTTTTACGGTATGGCAGAAGTCCAGCTGCTAAAATATGGCAATTTAAATGGAATATTTTCCGCAGAAAAATTTCTGAATTTCTCTACTATTCCGCTTTTTCGTACATTATCTCATTAAATTCACCTTTTCTAGCTCTATAATACTGTTTCCTATACTCGGCCCAGTACTCTTTTTTCGCTTGCCGCTTCATTTCATCATCAAGTTGAGTGGCAACTAAAAAATTAATTTCAAACTCTCGACACCCTCATAATTCTCGCTCACCTTGTGCAATAGGCTGCCCTTTCAAGTTCGAGTAAGCTGTCCGGAAAAACGCATCAATCTCCTTCTTCTGCGCATGTGTGAACATTTGCCGATCGCGAAATATCGTGTAAAACTTTTCAAATTCCTTCTTCTCGTCGGCCGACCATGCTTTCGCGTAGCCATGAACATCGCGGATTCTGTTCAGCAATTTCGTGACATTCCTCTCGCGCTGCTCAGCTTCCAATTTGTCGCGATCTTCTTCCAATTTCCGGAATATTTCATCGGTTTCCGGACTAGTTTTGACCGGTCTTCCGCGTCGTTTCATTGGTACTGCAAAACAAGTTCAATCATACAGTGCGCGTCATAATGATACGCCACCCCCCAAATTTCGCAGTTTTGAGAAAACCATATAAATTGGTGACGAGGCAATTTCATTTTCGAATTCAGGGCCATTAAAAACCTATACACGCGTATTTTCATGAGGGTCCGTTGGTCCGTATCCATACAGCCCGAAAAAGTTGGATTTTCAAGCGCGTCATAATGATACGCCACCCCTTATTTTTTGTCTTTTCTTTCGACATTTTTGCATGTCTCTCGCTGATTTTTTTGTATTTTGTACAGTTTTTCAACAATCTTGTTATTTTATCCATAGAACGATCGTCCACTTTAGTTTTGGCTTGAAATCGGGCCGAATTCGGTCCTTTGAACGACTTCGTTTTGTTTAAGGACTAAAACGCAAGAAAAAAGTCTAAATAACCATAAGACAACAAGTTTGAATGCGAGAACACACCAAATTCAATAATTAGTAGTCTCTCCATAGTTTTGGATCACTTCACATGTTCGGTTTCGCATTCTGTCGGCGAGTTCCTTGAGGTATGCAAGTGACCCACTGTTCCATTCCAGTCAAATTGCGGCCTTCAGCTCATAAAAGGTTCCCATTCTGCTTGCCTTGTACGCGAACGAAATGGGCAAGAAGTCTTCAGACGTTTTCGATGGGATTGAAGTAGGGGAGCTGGCTGATCCATCCAAAAGTTTGATACTAAAACCAATTGAAGATGCTGTAGCTCTTGTGAATGACTGGATTGTCTTGTTGAAATTCGTGAAACAAATTTTAAAGAAATTTCGTAGTTACGTATACAGTTAGATTTTCGAAAACGTCCGATACCATCCTTAATCGGCTTGACTCTCTGATTGAGTTATACCATAATGTCAATTTGAGCTTTCTCCTGTGAGCTAATGTAAGAGATTTTCCGCGGCCGATTATGAGAAGGATAAGTAGTGAAAATAGTTTATAAGTGAAAAATTAGCGGTCAGGCTGTCCGCACTCAGAATGCCAACCTTTTATGAGCTGAAGGCCGCAATTTGACTGGAATGGAACAGTTGGTCACTTGCATACCTCAAGGAACTCGCCGACAGAATGCGAAACCGAACATGTGAAGTGATCCAAAACTATGGAGAGACTACTAATTATTGAATTTGGTGTGTTCTCGCGTTCTAAATTGTTGTCTTATAGTTATTTAGACTTTTTTCTTGCGTTTTAGTCCTTAAACAAAACGAAGTCGTTCAAAGGACCGAATTCGGCCCGATTTCAAGCCAAAACTAAAGTGGACGATCGTTCTATGGATAAAATAACAAGATTGTTGAAAAACTGTACAAAATACAAAAAAATCAGCGAGAGACATGCAAAAATGTCGAAAGAAAAGACAAAAAATAAGGGGTGGCGTATCATTATGACGCGCTTGAAAATCAAACTTTTTCGGGCTGTATAGATACGGACCAACGGAACCTCATGAAAATACGCGTGTATAGGTTTTTAATGGCCCTGAATTCGAAAATGAAATTGCCTCGTCACCAATTTATATGGTTTTCTCAAAACTGCGAAATTTGGGGGGTGGCGTATCATTATGACGCGCACTGTATTAACTAAATATTGAATTTAGAACTCACTCATATTTGAATCGCTAGTAAAAACATCTTCAAACACCTTAACCGCTCCAATATGATAAGTATAATTAAGATAATTTCCTGTTGTGGGTAGTGTCGCTTTATTTGAGGGACCACCTTCAACTCCCTCTATTTCACCATCAGCATCGGAATTTTCTGAAAAGAACCCAAATAAAAATTCCCCCACTCTTTTTCGAATTCGCGCGCATTTCAATAATGACTCATGCTTATTTCTCTCGTCGCTTTCACACTCTCTTCCAACTGTTTGTATCATTCATGTGCAGATTTCAGCGACTATCATCATCATGCTTTCCGTTTAAATTATTCAACAAAACTCACGTTTATCTAACTGGTAGGCTTTGCGATAAAACGCCTTGAGCTCTTCCTCTTCCACGGGTCCCAATTGGGTCTTGTTTCGCGTTTTGAGATAAATCTTATGGAATTCTTCCATCTCCTGTATTGTCCATTGCTTATCAACACCGTATAAGGCGTTCGCCTTTTGGAGTAATTTTGGCACATTGCTGCTCCAAATTGTCGGCTCCCTCGGTTTCTCACCAAAGCGCGGTCCTAAATATTTAAAAAATCGCAATCTTTTCAAAAATTACAAAATCTTTTCAACCTTGAGGCTTTTTTAGCTGATTTCTCGACGCAATCAAAATTCCTTTTTCATCCTTGAGTGCGGTTGCAGTGCTTCTAGTTCCAAAGTCTACAAGTAAGCACATAAATTGAGATATCGAATAAATTTCGCACCGTCAGTGAGATTATAAGCCTTGGTGTAGAAATTGCGAAGCTCCTCTTTTTGCATGTCATTGAGATAACCATTCATGCGTAACAATCGGCAAAACTTCTCGAACTCTTTCTTCTCTTCTACTGTCCAAACTTTCGGCCCATAAACTCTTGTAGCAGCAGCCAGAAGGCGTTCAACGTCTTTCTGAATGGTATACTCCTCAGCATTCGGATGAATCGACTCTAAAGCCTTTTTCGGTGGAAGAGGAGTCATGTACTTGAAGGTCGGCGTGCTGCTAGGCTGATATGTCACCTTGTAAGTGCGTGCACCTTTAAAATAAAAAGAGTAAATTACAATTTTAACGAGAAAACCACCTGTAGTAGATGTCGATGGTGCTGAAATCGGAGCGACAAAGGTTGAAACAGGCGAATTTCTTCTATTATATGACATTGCTTCATCGAAAAGCTTCATTGCATTTTCTCGTATTTTTGCTTCCTCATCAGCTTCTTCATCCACTTCTACCGTTTCTGTTTCCTCTTTCTCTTTGACATCTACAATACCGCTTGGTACGGTGAAAATAGATATAAATGAAAGCAAAAGCTCAGATAAATGAAAATCAATCGGATTCGAAAATAATTTATTTTTCAATTGAATGTAAATTAATATGTTTCGAATTATTCCACAATTTCAATCGAATACGATTTCAAAATTGAGAATGAGAAATAAATCAATCGATTTCGAAGATTTTTGAATCGAAACCAAGATTTCAAATCGAATTTCAGCATTTTCTTAATCGAATTTTAATTATGTTTCAATCGAAACAGGTAAATTTATATTTAATTTTATCTTCGAATCCGATTGATTTTCATTTACCTGAGAGGGTTTTACGAGACCTAAGGCGCCAATTCAAATTATATAATCACACCCAATTTCTGCGGCCCATGACTACAACATTAAAAATTACCTGGAGCTTTTCCCAACAGATCGAAAATCGTTAAAGGAACTGATTCCTTTTCCTCATTCATCATCTCATTGTTTTCTTGCGAAACATTCGATGAGCAATAAGATTCTACCGGCTCTCCTATAATATCATTTAATATTTTCACAGACTCTTATTTTTTACAGTTAAAAATTCAATGATAACGCAAAATTTCAACCATAACTGTTATCATTGTCTGCCGTTTTTTTATCACTTATTTTGACAAAATCAAAATAGCCAATTATGATAATTTTTGCTTAAAAAGGAAAAAAATAAGGAATACTCCTAGTTTCTTCAATACCAAATGTTTAAATTGCCGAAAGACGGAAGCTCCTCGACCAAGAAAAACAGAGATATTTCGTTTGATTTTATTTGACATGACCTTGAAAACCAGATTTCTGTTCTATTTTTCAATGTAGGAGTGAGAAGATGAATAGGTTTGGAAGGCAAAATATGAATTACGCATGATTTTTCAATAAAATCAATTTACGTATTTTCTTCTTAAAAAAATCTCACAATCATTTTCCATAAGAAAAAAAACCTTGTTTTTTTTGTATTTGAAACATAGGTTTAAAGTGAGTTGGCGAAGACTCTGGTGGCGAACGAACACAAATAAATCACTGGTTGACAAATTGTAAAAGTTCGAAAAAAATTAAGTAGATCCATTTCCTTTATTTCCGTACTACAAAACTTATCAATAATAAAGTATTACAATCTAGATAAATTTTTCCAGAAAATTTTTTAACCTATAGTGAACCGCAAGATACTATTTCAACTTAATTAAAAGTGTTACCTGAAAATGGAAATTCGGCGACCAGCACCGGTGGAGACGAATCATCGTAATCGAATTCGTCAAAGTTGCCTTTTTTAGATGAAGTGCATGGTGAACAACTACCATCAGCTTCTGCCGAGCGCTTCATTTGTCGCTGCAAATAAATAAATCACTGTGACGGAAATTAGTGGATAAATTGGGCGACCGAGTTTATATCAAAACGATTGGTTGCAACCAATTTTAGGAAGAATAATAAAAGTAAACGAATCGAAGAATGAAATCGAAAAACGCCGAGTGAGAGAGCACGCGTTCATTGGAGACGCCGACATGCATCACGGTGTGAGACTGTACGATATGAAGAGGTTGCAGACACGCGGGAAATGTGAGCGCAAGAATTTTGCTGCGTCTCCTCATCCCGCTCACTATTTCGCCGTCATCAACGATAAATCGCGATTCTCTGCGTCTATTTGTTGCAAATACTCTTCTTTATGCACACTCTTTCTCGCGTTGTATATTCACTGTTTTCCAAAAAAAAATAAATTTCTCTTTTTTTTTCGAAAAAAAATGTCGACGACGAGGCGGCGAGAGCAATTCAATAATTTGTCTTTTTTGAATTTTTGTTGTCCCATGATTATTGCAATGAGAGGAATATTGAATGCACGAAAGACGACATGAAACAATCCGGAAATTGCAAGAATTTGCGAAATGGAAGAATATGAAAGAAAACGTGATGTTTGGAGTCTTGAAGGGATTGATGATATGGTTTTTTGAAAAAAAAAACGTTGGAAATCTTAATATTTGCTCAAACATACCTACTGTTGAAAATCCAAAAAAATTGAAACTCTGCCACGTAATCGAAGATAAAAATCTAGTATTCAACCGAAAATTTGAAGGAAAAGCGCCAATTTTTCGTAGAAACTTAAAAAAAAAAACAGAGGGGGGAAAATTAAGAAAATTAATAATGGGTTTAACAGGCGCATTCATAAATAAAATATCTGTCTCAAGATATTTTATTACTTTAATGGCATCATTCCAACAAAATTAATTCTTTTTTCGTTGCAAGATAATATTCAAAAACAACTACGAACCTTTAAAATTATTACGGTAGGATTTTCCGTGTTTAATAATATATTGTCTTCTCAAATGTTTTTCATAATTTTTCGAAATATATTTTTTGAAGTTTTATAATTTTAGCGTGCTGTACTCATTCCCAGAACAAAACACTATAAAAATGAGTTTCATTGTCATTCCCTCAATAAGTTGACAATCGAAAATCGTCTCGAGCATTAAAATGTCATTCGCCAAAAGTTATTATGCTGAGCAAAAACCAGTGGAGGAGCGTGGAGAATTTGGTAAATGAAGTGTGAATATTCCGCCCATTTTGAGCAATTCTCCTTTTCAGCAAGCGCTGCCGCCATCCCAGCGACTACTCCGGTTGCCGATGAGCCACTTTCTCCAGCTCAAATTCAAGAAGCCATCCGTCTGTATCGCTCGGTTATTTCGAATTCGACTCCCTCGTCCCCAGCTCGTCCCTCGCGTGCATCCGTTGAGCGAAAAAGTTATTTTTAAAGTGCGACACTTCTTATGTTATAAATTTAGCCGTCCACTCGAACTACTATGGCGGTGGTCCGCAAGATGTCCCACAATCATACATGGTTGATTACCGTGTAAATCAGAATATTGCTCGCACTCCGATTCAGGAGCAGCCCAAACCAGCTTTCAATGAAAAACAATTGATCTCGCAGCTACAAAACTTGGCTGTTCAACAGGATAGCATTCCTCAGCCGGTTGTCGCTCAGCCCACCAATCAACTTCCTCAAGTTACGGTCATTTCGAAAAAACCGATTGCTGCCAGAAAAATGGTAAAATAACTAGCTTTTGGTGTTTTGTTATTTTAAAGCCGTTTAGTATGAGGATGATGAATCTGGATACTGTTTCAATAAAACTAAGAATGGGGAAAACGAGTATGAAGAAGAACAGCAACCGCAAGCTGTTACTCCAAAAGTTGAGCACTACTACCAGCAACCGACGGTGCCAGTGGCCAACTACACCCAAAATTTTCAATCGTCGCCGCAGCGTTATTCTAAAACTGCGCCATCGGAATATTTGGGGATGTCGAATGAAAATCGCTTCATCTATGATGGGCAGAGCACCCTACCGGCTTATAACACCAATAATTACACTTTGGTCAATGCGCAGCCACAAGTCGTGCAGCAGGCTCCGGTTGAGACGGAGGAACATGGAGTAACTACGACCGAGGATGAAACTCAACGACCTGTCGAATCGCCGGTTGGACAATCGAGATTCCGAGGATTGATCAAGGTGCTTACTATTCCTATTTTAGCGATTTTCTAGCTAATTAATTTCAGAACGCCGGCATTACTCAGTGCGAACAAACCGCTCCAATCGTCGTCGAGCGTGTTGCCGATCAACCCTACATTGCCCATCAATACCAATACGACGCGTTCCACCCAGTTCTCAACGTTCCCACTGAATCCGAATACCAGCTCCCGGTTCTCAATGATTTGGCGTCTTGCATTGAAAACTACTAGAGCACCACCAGCACAACACTAGCGATTAAACTTTTTTGTTTTGTAATCCGATTTTTTTTAAGTTTTTTCCTCGTAATAAATTTTTTTTAGTAACTCGAATCATTTAATTGCTACAAGGGTTTCTATGTAGTGTTTTCGTAATTTACTTAAAACCCTCATAATTGCCATAATTTCAAGATGTTATTACCAGCAATATAAAAACATGCAATAACGGAGTCGATAAGAGGTTTAAATTGACTTTACTTCCGCCCTTTTTTCGTGGCCTAGAAAACTTCTAAAGAATTTCTAGGCCATTAATACTTTTTAAATATATTTCTTTTTCATTTTCTTCCATTCATTCATTGTGTGATTTCAAAAGCTCAAATTCTTTGTCTAATACGAAAATTTTAACAAATTTATAACGCAAAAGTGTTCCTAAAAACAAGTTTCCGGTTTTTGTATCATTTATTTTTTCTTAGTTATTCTTAGGCAATGTCTGTTACAGCATTTTTTTTTAGAAATTGCTGAAAATTGAAGGCGTATGGATCGTGTCCGCAATTTTGTGCAACCTGAGCAATTTACACGTGATCGAGTTTGTTTCAACGCTTTTTCAACATTTCAGTTTTTTTTCAGATATTAATATGCTCACTGGCACTTCGAATAACATTAGTTCTTTATTCACACATTCATGACTATATCTTCAAGGTATTTTTCCAAATATTTCACAGCTTTCGTTTACGAAATAGTTCCAATTTAGGTTAATTTCACTGATATCGATTATCTAGTATTTTCGGACGCTGCCAAACATGTCTATGAAGGAAGAAGTCCGTTTGATAGGGAGACATATAGGTAAAACAAATTAATTTTTGATGGCCAATCTCGAAATTTAGATACACACCAGCCCTTGCATGGTTTCTTCTTCCCGTCGTGAATTTTCCTGATTTCGGCAAGATTTTGTTTTGTGTTTGTGACATTGTTGTGGCGATGTTGTACTTCAAAATCATGGAGAAAGAGACGAACATGCTTACCGACAAAAGAGAAGTATATAGACCAAATAATAGTAGTTTTCCATGTTTTAAAAATTTCAGAAGAAATCGCTCGAAAGCATCCAGACAACAAATGTCGTTTGTTTTTGGCTATTAAACCCGTTATGTGCCGTTATTTCGGCTAGGTATTATTTTTAATATTTCGCCAGAATAATCGATTAAATTCAGAGGAAACGCTGAATCGATTGTATCCATGTTCGTTCTTCTCAACATTCTTCTACTCCAGAACGGAAAAGTAAGATCGTTTAACAGGATTGTTTGAATTTTAACGACATTCAGTGGATTTTGGCTGCTGTCGTTCACGGGGCTCTCGCAATTCATTTCAAAATCTATCCGATCATCTATCTTCCATCGGTGTTCTTGTATCTTTCTTCTGTGTCGCTGCAAACTAGTAAAATCATCAATTTTAAATAAGATGATGGCATTTCATAATTTCAGCTTTTACTGACAAAGTTAAAGCGTTCTTTACAAACTGGAAGGGATATGCCTATGTTTTGGTAACTATTTAATTTAAAGTTTCCATGAAACGATAAAATTTTTCAAGATAACTCTTGGATCGTTCGCTGCCATCGTTATATTTTTCTACAATATCTATGGCGAAGTATTTCTTGATGAATTCCTGCTTTATCATGTCAAACGAAGAGATATCAAACACAATTTTTCGCCATATTTCTTCATTCTTTATTTAGCCAATAGTAAGAAATCTAATGTATTTTTTATGTCACAAAAAACATTAGTTTTTTTTCTGTATATTGCTTCAACATTGCCATTCGTTTTCAGATGATGAGTTCAAATCCAAGCTTATTGGATATTTCGCATTTATTCCACAGATTTTGATCACTGTGGCCAACGCTTTTAGACATTATGATGATCTTCCTTTCTGCTGGTTTGTAACTACATGGGCTTTTGTTTCTTCAAATAAGGTAGTTATAAATTTAAAGATAAACCATTCAATGTATTTTTCTCATCAGGTATGTACTAGTCAATATTTTGTTTGGTATTTGGTGCTGCTCCCGCTAGTTGCTCATAATATTAAGGTATTTTAAAACCAACAATTTCTCACTCATAATTCCGATTAAAGATGTCATCAAGCCGAGCTTTTTCGCTCATCGCCGCCTGGTTCGCTTCTCAAGGATTATGGCTGTTATTTGCTTATTTATTCGAGTTCGAAGGATGGGACACATTTGTCGAAATGTTTGCCGCTTCTTGTTTATTCCTTCTTGTAAATACAGTTTGCGTCTCGCAAATTACCAAGTCATATGTAATACAGAAACAAGATGAGAGGAAAAAACAAAATTAGATGATTAATTAATTTATGGTTTTGACTTGATCTCATAAATTATTTCTTTCATTTTTTTTCTTAAATTGTTTTCTGATGGCTATTGATTAAACCACAATGTTTCTTCAAATTGACACAATTCCATTATGTAACTAAATTTTTAGATGGTATTTTATCTGATTGGTTTGGGTCTTGGAGATATTGAAGACATCACTGTAAAGGGTTTGAACATTGTCAAGTTTGAACTATTTTGGTTTTACAATTATGTGGTTTTTTATTTCTAGGAAATGCAAAAGGGTTCATCTAGAAGCCTATACAAGCATTTTGTGCTATGGATTGGACAAGTCGAACTTGGAAAAATTCTACGGTCGAGAAGTGATTGAAGCGGATCGGACAGTTGTTGAACAACAATCAGGTTTCTCTCTTTTTTTTTTAATTTTTAACATAAACATTTTTCAGATGAGATTCTCGATGGCGCTGACACGGATGATGTTGCTCTTCTTGTTGTCGGAGATCCATTTGGAGCCACTACACATGCTGATCTCGTTCTTCGAGCCAAGCAAAAGAATATCCCGGTAACTCAACGATTTAAAGAAAAATTATCTTTGCAAATTTTAAATAATTTCTAGGTTCGTGTCATCCACAATGCTTCGATTATGAATTCTGTCGGATGCTGCGGCCTACAATTGTATAATTTCGGAGAAACTGTTTCGATTGTGATGTGGAACGAAGGATGTCAACCAGAGAGCTACTATGATAAGATTGCATTGAACAAGAAGCGTGGAATGCATACGCTGTGCTTGTTAGATATTAAAACAAAGGAACAAAGTGTGGAGAATATGATGAGGTCGGTGTTTGCCTTTTAAAGAAGGGGCTATTACGATTTTGGCAGAGGTCGAAAAATCTATGAGCCGGCTCGCTACCTGACATGCTCTGAAGCTGCATCCCAATTATTGGAGATTTGCAAGCGGCGACAAGCGCGAGGAGAGGAATGCGGTATTTATATTTCCTTTTCGTATTTTTTCAATTCGATTTTCAGCTTATGACGAGAACACTATGGTTGTCGGGCTTGCTCGAGTTGGATGGAATGACCAAAAGGTGAACTTTTCACTCAAACATTAAACTATTCTTTTTATGCTTGACAACTTTTATGGTCCGAAAAAAGGCAGAATGGATACTTTATGGGAGTCAATTTTAAACGAAATAATCGTTGAACCCTTGACATAATGCATTACCATGTGATGTTGCACACACCTCAGATTTTCTTGGCAAATTTTTGAACAGAACGAACATTCTTGTAGAAAAAATGTTGGGTGATCTCGAATTGCAGATTGTGTACGCGAGTATGAAGGAAATGGTAAGCATTGACATGGGACCACCATTGCATTCGATGATAATTCCCGGTGAAACACATCCACTCGAAATTGACATGCTCGAAACGTTCCGTAATTGAGGGGTTCACGGCTCACGCCTTCCGATATTCCAATTCTCGCATTTTGCTCGACACTTTGTTATTTTTGTTGTTGTTTTTTCGCATGTTCTTGTTAGTTGTATTGTTGCTCATAAAGAACCCAGCAAGTCTTTGTCTGGACCCAAGGAGAATTCCGAACAATGTAATTCGATATGGCGAGGCAACTGAATGACGAAGATTAGGCGGATCAGATTCAAATTGCATTAGATGAATTTTTTGCTTTTGGGCCGCGGTTTCGTTGATTCGGAGAAAAAACACTTTGTGGTCCTTGGACTTTAAATCCGTGGGACTAATGTATATTATATTTTCTTATTTTTTCGATTATTTAAAAAAAATTATTTCTCACTAATGACTTTGCACAAATGGAGGGAGTGAAAAGACATATGATCCAATTGAGCCCATTTAATACATCATCTCTTGTTTCCTAAATGTTTCTCATCTCACAAATCATCATTATCATCATGATATTATCCTTTTATCTATATACAATTCTATTTTTTAATCAATCTTTTATTCAAAATTTCAAGTAGAATATTTAAATAAAGTAGTGAATATGAATAGCCTGTTCTATTTTATTATTTTCATTCTTTTGAAACTTAATTTCGGGAAATGGAAATCCCAAAAATTCTCGTTCTTATCGACTTACTCATGAAATGTAATTTTTATAAAAATGTAAAAACTTGCATTAAATTTGGATTTTTTAAACCCTGAGCTAGAAAATGTGTGATTTCTTTTGACATTTTTTATTGCATAAATATGACCATTAACATAGAAATCACATTGTCTAATAAGCGAGTATGCACAAATTATTGTTTTTTTCTGAAAGGAAATGCCCCGCCATCATCTTTCAGTCGTTCGAATCCGAAAATATTCCACGCTAAACAAAGCAGCGGTGAATTCTATCTCACTTACATTTCGACGAATGTCGTGAGTGTGCCAGTACACGATGATTAAAAGTAGCATAATGCGACCTAGAAATGAGTTGTACGCTGTAGAAATTAAAGAGTTGAAACTCTATATTGTCGACGTCTGCGGAAAATCATCCACCAATATTCTTGATCCTGGGATTGCCTTTCATGTGTACCTGTTCAAATATCAATCAAAAATTGCGCTCACAGCAAAAATGTAATTTGTCGCAGTGAAAGTTTCTGCCGATTTTTGCCAAACACTAAATTGAGGGCGATGTGAAATTGGAGTATCGTACTGGTAGTGTTTAAAGTTTTGGGACGAACAGAAGTTTTATGCGAAATACCGTGGTGTCGCCAGGTTTACACCAAAAACAAGCTCGGTTTGCTGAATTTATAAGGATTTATTGGTGATGTCAAACGACTTGACGAAATTTTAAAAATTATTGGCTGTATGCGTAGTAGTGAGAAGACTAGTACGCAAGATTGCGTACATTGCATTATAGTGTACGCGCATTTAATATTCAGCTAACGACAAATTTAAATCGACACTGATTTCGCGAATTTGAAGACCCCGCCTCTCTTCAGTCGTTTGACGCCGACAATACTAACTGCTGAAGATTCCTAGTGTGTGTAATAAAACGTTGTGCGTGAATTGCACATTTCCATTTCTACAGTACCTCGGCAATTTTCCCAGGAATATTTATGGATTTCTCAAAAACTCTTACATTTTGATGGACAATTTCGTTTTAATTCCAACTAGACATATTGTCACAAAAAATTTCGTCAAAAATCGTCTTTTTTTAAGCTCGAAAGATTAATGTGGATGGGTTCGGTTTTTTTTTGGTCGTTGCTTATTCAAAAAAAGTAAGATTCGACTTGCGAACAAACGCGTTCCCACTTCTGATTTAAAAATTAATAGTGACAGCAAAAACAAGAAAAAAAAAGAAAACCGGGCAAAGGAAAACACAAACTGCAAATCGAGTCCAAATTGGACAGGTTAACGGCCCCAAATCTTCACCATTATGTTTTCCTGCTTCTCCATTTTTTCGACGAAGAAGACGACTGCGATGACAGCAAAATGAAAGAAGGAGGGGGGGGGGCTCGAGGAGAAGGAAGAAGCCGATTGAACAAAAAACTAAAAGAAGAAAAAAACGTGAAGGTGGAGTCCGACGATGACGCTAATTCCTTAGTCGAATTCGTCTATTTTTCCGGTCCGGTCACTCTATTTCTGGATTAGAGCGTCTCTGTTTCTTTTTGGGACGAGGGAGGAGGGAAGTTTCATTTTATTTTGAATGGAGCCGACAAAGCAGGTCGGATTCTCCGAGCATGTCACAATTTTTCCCGACGGCGGTCAATTTACGAGGTCAGTTCTTCTTTTTTTATCAATTTGAAGAATCGGCGTCCGATGAAACGATATAATAATTAAGGAAAATTGGAAAAAAATTTCGACTTTTTTTGGATTGATACAAAATAGTTGGACACAATATGCATATTTGTAAAATAAAAGTAAGCCAGCATTGAAATTGATCGTCATAAGACCTAACTTCAATAGTTGTCTTCAATTACTGTTATCAATACCACTTATTTTTCTTATGGGCCAATTAGCGTTAAAAAACTAATTTGGACAATGTTATTACATTGAATAAAAAAAATCGATAATTTTTCTAGCGGTGATCCATTTTTTAAATTTTTTGAGCAAAAATTTAAAATTGTGACAAAAATTAAATTGATCAAATTCATTCTATTGGTGATGGATAATTTTTATTTTCTAGAAATATAGATTTTATACTTTCCGAATATGGAATAATGTAGGCGCTATTGAAACTGGGTCTCGTGGCGATCGATTCTAGTAGCCACATTTGATTGTGGAAAACAGGCAGAGCAAAAAAACACACTAAATTGGGTCTCAATTCATATAATATTCATTCGACGCGAAAGTATCCGAATGATAAGCTCGCACATGCATTATGGTCTCGACAAGAACTCATAGTACATAGTAGGAATTGAGAGATAATTTTACTCGGAGCATACTATAATGTTCATTATTTCCAGTTTTTCTCTTTAAATTCCGAGAACACATTGCTACTTTTTTGTTTCATAACTCATTCATGACCATTGTTCTATGATATTGTGCTCTCAAGACTCTTCGTATCGTTTTTCCCGTCCAAGTTTTGCCCAGCAATTAATTATTAAGCAATTCTTCTTTTTTCGAATTTTTTGCAATTTCCAAAGCAGTTCTACTAGACGAAATGCTCAACTTCTTTATTCTTCTGAAAAAAATAGCGGTCAATTGAATTATAGGCGAATAATACATTCTCGTAAAACCGGATTTTTTTTTGAATTCTCAAATAAAATTATTGAATTTTTTGTTGTACTAAGACCTTTTTAGCACATCAATATAAAACTTGTAATTTTTTTTACAAAAATTACATTTAGGCGACGCTTAAATCGTTTTAAGCGGTGACAAAAAAAAAAGAAAATTAGGTTATTTCAATAATTTCGCGCAATTTTTATTTTACGTTTTTGATCTATTATTCTCCAAAAATACGAATGAAACTCAAAATTTGATGAAAATACTCTAGAATCGGAAAGGAATAAGAAATAAATGATTCCGTAGTACGATACTCGAATTCCCAATGTTTAAATTCAACATTGAAGTAGCTTCCTCAAAAATTCGTGATGGTCTACAAAACCTTAGGGTGCTCGTTTTCTTGCGATGGTAATACAAAGAAAAATTCTTTTCGCTTAAGAAAAATTCGTTTCGCCAAAAAATTGAGTTAAAGCTTGGCAGCCTAAAATTATTTAATGGTTGACATCTGGCGTTTAATATTCATTTTACTTTATTTTACGATTTGAATTTTTCAAATGACTGAAAATGCAAATTCTTTTTTCGATTTTTTTGTAAAATATTTGTTGACAAAACTCAAGATATTCATTTTGATTTTTTTTTCAAATTTTTTAAGAGCGCAACTTGATGTGAACTACAACCTCTCTTTTCATGGCCCGAAAATGCCAAATTTGTGTGAATTCAATTTTTATTTCAAAAAAAAATGATAAAAATAACATTATGTGGCTGACCAAATTGTTGACAATAATCTAGATATATCCTAATGTTATTCTCCATTCAATTTCTCTGAAATTGTTGTTTCCAACCTAAACACGTTTTTGGTGGCCCCTTGAGTTCATTTTTCTTGGAATTCGTCTCCCCACCCCCTTTCTTCGCAACAATCCGTGCATGTCCGGAGCTCAATTACCAAGTTGAAGCTCACATAACAAAACATGTACTTTCTGCGCGCCTGGACGTGTATTATTCAAACGCAAACAATACGACGTGTGTTTTTTTCGGGTCTCTACACGAGTACAACCTTAGGAGAGATTCATCAAATGTGATTTTTTGGTGATTTGAATAAACCATTTCTATTTTTTGAATGGGATCCGCTAAAATAATAAAAATTTGATAATAACTTAACAGAAAATGAACGAAAAAAAAAACGCCAAAACGTTTTTTTGGGATGGGAAGAAATAATTGTGGAAAATTCCCCTCACAAGTGATTTGTCGGCAAATACAATGCACACGTCCGCATTCACTGAGGACTCTAATCTTTCGCAGTTCAATATCATAAAGAAACTAGAGTATAATCAAAAGAAATATCGATTGCGGACTTATGCATTTTATTTGACGACAATATATGAGTATCCTTCCCGCTCCACAATTTATTTTTGATTTAAATTTGTGTAATATTGCGTGCGCTTGAATATTGTTGAAAAATTACAAATGTATCCAGGTGTCGTGGGATCCTGCGTTTTGTACGCAATGCTAAGAGACAGTTACCGTAATCCTTGCAGCGATTTACGGGGACTTTTTTTTAATTTCGCAAATTCATGTTTTTTTTTTATTTTTGGTCAATTTTCTTATATTCTTTCGAAAATGTATATTTAAAATCTGTAGAAACTAATTTTAATTATCTTTTTTTAACAGAATATACACTTTTAAACGATATTTTTTGGTAAAAATAGCAGAGATTAAAAAGAAAACATTTTTGTCGTTTATAAAATTATTTTTTCGTGCTTGGC